ACGAAAAGCCGAAGTGAAATTCGAACCGAAGGTGAAGCCGAACTCCGAAAGAAACACGATCTTAATTTTTATCAATGCATGCATAACGTTTTCTCAAAGGCTAATTCTCAATTCTTATTTGCTGTCATAGCTGGATTGCTTAAATCCGATTTCCAATAACAACCTTAAAATCTAGTTGACCTTCGAGCCAACCTTTTTTTCATGTTAAACAGTCTTACTCGATCACAGTTTTTAAGATCCCCTCAATCAAGTAAAACTGAAAATGTAATCGGTCGCAGTCGAAGTAACAATGGGGGAAGACATGCGCTAAAGTCGATGAGCAACTGATGAACACCGAAAGACCTGTTGATGAAGAGCCGAAGTATAAACGAAGCCGATATTGTGACAAACTAAAGAAGCGACGAAGAAGAAACGATCCAAACCGAAAATATGCCGAACAGTATTCGATTGAAAGAAAAAACTTAGAGAAAAAGATGTGGAGGAAGGGCCTCGGCAAGCCTCAAGGGGACCCGCAAACTAAGCTTTAACTACTTTGAGCCGAATCCGAAGTGTGACAACTTTTAGCAGAATCTGGCTTTTATGGTTCAATTAGTGCACTGTCTATTAATCCTTCTTTTATCCCAACCCACAAAGAATCTTACTAACCAGCCGGACATCAGCGTCTTCTAACTGTTCTGTTCCCAGCCTCCGCGTATACAGCAGAAAGGAAGAGAAGAAAAAACCCAATTAAGCGTCGGCCCTTTTCTTCACCACGCTTTCCCGTCCATAAGCGAGTTGTACCGGTAACGAGAGTCAGCACTTGTCTTGTGATGATGAACTGGACCATATGGAAAGGAATGGCGAGGACTGGAGCGGGCCGTACTGGACTGCATAGAACTGGACGCTGAGTTTTGGACTAAATGCACAACGAACTGGACTCTACTGAAATGAAGTGAGCGGGACTGAGGTTAAGTGATCTGGACTAGCTGGACTGGAATGGACTAAGCGGTGTTTCGACTGGAGTGTGTCGTACAAGTCTAAATGAGAAAGATATTGTGGATATTTAGACGAAATAAATAATACGTGAAAACATCGTGGCCCATTGTGAAGGGGAAAACATTGCAAAATAATCATATTCTGAGTTCGCAACTACTGCACATGTAAGAAGAACTGAATAGGGATTTTCTGTCAGACACATTTTTCTGAAACGTTGCAAAACTTGGTTGGACAACATGCGATAAATTTAATTCATTTTTCCGGAGTAACCTTCGGCAGTAGTAAGATTGAAAAAACTGTTCCCTTCACATCTTTACATCAGTGTTTTTATTGTCAATACTGTTCTCTATACATTTCTTAAGGAGAACGTGTTTAACTATCATGAGCTCCGTTTGTTGGTGATTATTCATTTCTTCTTATGTGTGTGACTAAGGGGTGTGATTAAGGGGTGTGATTAAGGGGTGTGACTAAGGGGTGTGACTAAGGGGTGTGACTAAGGGGTGTGACTAAGGGGTGTGACTAAGGGGTGTGACTAAGGGGTGTGACTAAGGGGTGTGACTAAGGGGTGTGACTAAGGGGTGTGACTAAGGGGTGTGACTAAGGGGTGTGACTAAGGGGTGTGACTAAGGGCTGATAATGTAACTAGAAATTAAATGTCAGTAATCCCTAGGTTTTTAAGATTACAAAAAAAAATTACTTACGTTTGAGAACGAAGCCCCCTTCATATTGCCGAATATCAGTTTCATCTGGAGTCATGGTGAGTAAACATCAAGGCGTACTTGAATTTTCCCTTGCGAAATTTGGAGAATCCTATAGTAAAATTAAATTTAAACATTTGCAGATTATCGAAAATTAGGCAAATTAAATCTTATGCAAATAGTAGATAACAGCCAATCATGTAAACAAGATTTGAATTTATAAAAAAAACTGAGATAAGAAAAGGGATTTTTGTCTTAATGCCCGAAAATCAAAACTTGCTTTGAAAAAGGGGCTTTCGTCTAAAATATCAGAAATTTACAAACGTTCTTTGATTAAAAACCGTATTACTGACATTTTTATCATTCAGATGTTTCGATTAAAAAGAAAAAAAACAGAAGCGTGAACTTAATTTTTCTTCTTTCATAACGAGCGGTTAACTCTTGAAGTCTAAGAAGTGATTAAAATGTAACTTCTCCCTATATTATATATACATTATCCAGCAAACAGGAAGTGAGAATATTCAAATTTATCTCCTAAATGTTATCTTGATCTGATATCAAATTCTTGTAACTAATTGGCAGGACATGTTTGGAAGCCAAAGGGGAGAATTGACGATCTGATCTTGGAATTTAAGGGTTGAGACGATGGAAATTCTCGGAATCTGCTTGGGAAGTCTATTGAAATATTTCCTTAATTTCACTCGTCATCTCTATATTACGCAAAATGTTCAAAACTAATGCCTCTATGAACAAGCTTTAGATATACTCACTATCAAAATTAATATGCATTACTCAAAACTCTGAGTATCGCTTCAAACTTGCACGAACGAACCACGCTTTCTCTAAATTGTTAACGCGGAATTTCAGCAAAGTAGATGAAAGATTAGGGTGAAATTTCCGCACAGCTCCATACTACTGTAAAACAAATCTGTTTTCCTAGTGAAAATGTAGTGTTTTTGTCATTGTTTTCTCTATCCAAGAACTGAATGCATAATGTAGTAAGGGGCTGCACGGAAATTTTACCAAGATTAAAAATGGTACTCCGCGCGTCAACAGTTTCAAAGAAGAATTTCAAGGAATCCGATTTTGCAAAAAAAAATTACGCAATATAATCTCTACTGCTAAGTTATTGACAGCTTCTGGGCGGAAATACGAGCGACTGGAAAGAATTAAAAGATTTAATAAAATGAAGCTTCGACCTGGAGCTGTTCTTAAATTTGTAAATGGTTCAGCTTCTTTTAGGATTAGTTTACACAGTTTTACTTGTTTCTATAAGCGTCGATAAACACTTACCTGCTTCCGTCCGTTGCCAGAAAAGATACGTGATGTTTAGTTTGACAAAACGAGAAACGAAAGAGGGCTTCCAAGGGAGAAAACACTGTGAAAGGGCTAAAATTGTGACAACAATTGACCACTGAAATAGAATTTCTCGAAGCTTGTAATAATTTCAAAAGTGTACCTTTTAAAACCTATGTGTGCACGTGGGTTCTTGAGCTCTTCCCTGAAGGGCTTAACTAACTGCACGGGTTTTTAGCGCGCACGATTTTTCCAACTGCACGGGTTTTTAGCGTGCTCGATTTTTCTAATTAGCACCATTCATTAGAGGTACCTTTTGTTATGGTAAACGCAAACGTCAAATCAACATCTGGGTTCTCTCATTTATAGAGAGAGATATATAGGCCATAGTTGTTATTTTTCACGCGCGCACGATTTTTCTAATTAGTACCATTCATTAGAAGCACTTTCTGTTATGATACACTTAAACGTTAAAATTAACATTTGGGTTCTCATATTTTTCTTCCAAGACAAAATACAGTAGAGCCCTCGCAATAAGTACCAAAGTTTTTCATAAATGCAGAAACTGAAAGAGAAGCAACAAAACTTCAAATTTTGTCGTAGTAGTTCGCGTTAAAATGTTCGCAAATGCCTCTATCCAAATAGCAAAATATGATATGATATATATTATTTTTCACGGACTCTAAATGTTTTTTCCTGTCAAGTCACGGCTAAAATGAAAAGAAAACAATCGACAAAACTTGCAAGATTAATTAACCCTTGTGTTATCCTCTAGGCCTCTGTTTTTCAGAGGTTAGATGGTGCTATTCACTGGATAAATCGCCATCCAGTGGCTGGGTGTTTACCAAACATACCAGCGCTTTATTTGCACAAAACCTTTGCACTTTCTACTTGCGCAAAGTTCACATATGTGTGTGTTTTTTTTAGCCCCTAAAATTCTCTCAATAAGCCGTGAATTAGTGTTTCAGGGTAATTTTCTCTTATCAACCGAGTTGAAAACGTAAATTGGCCACCGTAAAGAGTTTTACAGCTGACGTTTCGAGCGTTTGCCCTTCGTCAGCCTTTAAACTCTTTACGTCGGCCAATTTACGTTTCCAACCCAGTTGATAGCACTAAATTACCCTGTTATACTCTCCCACCGACACAGCACCACAGTTTCTTCAGAAACTTAGCCCCTTTATTAGTTGGTGCTTCAGATTTTTTATTACACGCAGTCGTATGTGCATCTATTTCGCATGGAGCTCAGGCGTGATCTCTTAAGAAAACACAACCAGAATATAAGCGCCAAGCTTTTTGTCAATGGTGGAAGTTAGAGCTGTTGGTGAAGTTTACGTAGAAGTTGTAACAACAAGGCAGTGGTGCATTCAACAAGAGGCAGATGTGATTGAAGACTTCTGGTACTCTTTTCCCAGCGAGTTTGCTAAAGCTTTTTGCTCCCACTAACGTCCCAACACTTTGATACGACTTCAGACTCCTTTAATGTTGTGGAGTTTTCATGCCGTCTTACGTGAGTATCAATCGTCGGTCGTATAAACACAGTACCGTTGGGGAACCATCAGGTAATTACTACATGCTCTGGCTAGTTGTGTTCCGCTTCCAATGCACAATATCTACAAGCTCGATTAGCATGTTTCAGTTTGTTTTGTTGCTAAAAGAACTCTATCATACAGGTTAGTAGAAACTTATAGAAAGATTATTATGCGTTAATACAAGCGCAAGACAAATTGACAAGATGGGAGCCCCCTCGCATAAATTTAATCCTGATGTCTACGAAATGACCCACCTAAGACTTGGTCAGCGATTTAAAGATTTTCGATGCACTGGTACACTGATTCAATGCACTACTCTACGGTATCTGGAAGCTCAACCGTGGAAGATTTTCCCTTCGTAAACGTTTGATACATGTTTCTTGCTCGTCAGAAAGAGAACCAAAGAATTCTGATCTGAGAAGGGGTAATTCAAATTTGAAACAGTCCCAAGAAAAACATAGCCTAAGAAATGCAACAAAACCACTGGATGAAATGACAATCCTTGTACAATGTAGATTTTCTTTGTGGACTACAGTAGTTCTTACAGCAATTCCTAATTGATCACAACTACTACCCATTGTCGATGTCCTCTGTCAGGCCAAGCTATAGACAATTTCTTTATGTACAAGTACTATTATTTGTTATTGAACAAGCTGTAAACTTGTCTTCTTGCTAGACCCCCAAAATATGTGACCCTCGTCCATAAGTTTCAGTCACGAACCAAATAATCTGGAAAATTAAATGAAAAAAACATCTTTAATAAACCTTGACTTTAAATGAAACGAAGAAAACTTTAACGAGAAAAGCCTCAAAGCAATCAAAAGCAAGATAAGTAATGACTTAGGCCAACAAATATAGATGTAAAACTTTTCATTAAGAGTGAAGTGGAGTGGTATTAGGAATAGTGGCATTAGCTAATAGGTGCACAAGATGTTTATGCTTTAAAAAAAATGCTTTCTCAGGACATTAACACTTAAAAAAATGCTGTATCCATATAGTGTAAATGTGTTAGAAATTCAGACACAGCAATTCTTGTGTGGAAAGGTAAGAAACAGCTAAACAATCATGTTGAGGAGTACATCGCATGCAGAGGTTAATGTAAAATTTTCAGCTGTTCTGATCATTTGCCATGGGTGATGATTGCTACATAGCCCTTTTGTTACAGAACAACTGTTCAATAACTGCATGCATTGTACAACTGATGTACTTTTTTGAGTTAAACATAGATACATAATTCATAACTTGACTGATACTTACATGACCATACACAGCATCATTATAATATTCCATAAACCAATAAAAATTCTGAAGTATCGAAGATTGATGATAAAGTCCTTCAATTTTTCACCTGCAATCGGAATACAATTAACAAGATCATATGAATGATATACATTGACTGAAAGGTTATTGAGATAATGTAATGTGCTGGCAGCTTCCTCCAGGGTTAACTCTGTGGTCAACCATTTGTTTGCAATAATTGGAGGCAGTTTTGCTGACCCAGGCAGCACTATCTCACATGAATCTCAGTGTACTGATGGGAAATAATTGCTCTACCAGTAGTAGCTTTCATTAATATATTAAATATTACTGCCATATATATCTAAACACCCTATACTTTAACCTTTCATATGGATTAGAAGGACAAGGCAGTTGGCCTCTTTAAAATCCTTACTGACATTTTTTGCATCATTGTACTTAAACACTGGAACTACCAGAAAAATATGGTAAGCATATCTTGAAATCAAAGATAAAATGCTTCTTAATCTGAATTACCAAGTGAAGGTTCTTCATTCTCTTCTCCAAATGAATCTGTGGGGTTCCTTTTTTTACTGTGTGAGTAAAAAATACCAGTTGATTAAAGCTGGGAATTATGTGGGTTTTGATTATTTCCTGCATCATGCACATTATGAAGTACATGGGATCATGTCTATAGTGAAATAAATCAAATATACCTTTAAAGACCAAAAATTATTTTTAGAACTGCTTGGCAATATCTAGCAAACAATGAATACTCTTATAAAGTTTGCTCTCATAGAGGTTCTCTGAGGGAGCTGGGTCAATATTCTTAAGGTATAACTTTGCAAGAGTTGAGAACACAGTGGTTTCATGGTATGCTCAACTTTGAATATTTCATTAACTACATAGTACTTGGAATCATGTGATATTTCTAAACGAACATCAGAAACACTTGGGAAGTCTGAAAGAACCTTTCAGATAAATTTCTGAAAGTTTCTTTCACCCTACAGTTCTAAATGAACATCAAATACACTTGGGAAGTTTGAAAGACCCTTTTAGTAATATTCCTGCAAAAATTGCCACCCTGCAGTTCTAACTAGACATCAGATACACTTGGGAAGTTTGAGACAACATTAGGGTAGAATTTCTGCAGTAATTTCCACCCTGCCATGCATTTACCCACAGCATAATTTTACATGTGAACTTGTGTCTATCTGTCCTTTTCCTTATTTATACCACGACGCGAAGTGGAATGGTTTCTAGCTTATTGAGTGTTCTCCCAACCTCCCAAATGCTTACATCAGGCTATGTAAACACGGAAACCATTTTACATTTCTTTTATAAAATAACTAATGAAAGAGGAACGAAAACCGTGTTTATATACGCTCATGTAAAATGGTTTTATGGCCAATCAGAGCGCACATACTATTTCAATTATTTTATAATTAATTATTATTGATTGTACTCACAGTTTAAAGTTCAGAACTGCACAGGCATTAATCAGCAAGGTGCTGCAAAGTTAAAAAAAAAGGGAATGATAATTAGAACATGATTGTTCAACTTGGTAAACTGTCTGACAATGTTATTTAAATCAATAAATATAACTCTTAATTATCCAAAGTCGTATTCACAAATTAAACATTCGTGGAAGTCCTCAAGGTGTTAGCACTCAAATCTTTAATGGTAATAAACATTTTGAGAAGTTTTTCCCACCAAAGTCAGGAATAAATAATCCACATCTGTAGCGATGAACCGTACATTCATCCGCATTGATCTTCAGTAACCTTGGACGCAACTTCTCATTACGTGTCATCTCACTTTTGGTTTTCCTTTGACACCAGTTAACCCAACAAATATCATCATGAGCTCCCGTGTAATTCTAAAAAAATCTTTTCCATGTGACGAGGAAGATCTACATACCCAGCAACAAGAATATCTGAAAGAAAAGCCATAATAACTCAGTAACAGGGATATTTTCAAGCAGCTCAAGAGTTGTTTTGTTGATGTTTGGCCAGGTTACACAAAATGCCTGGCTACCAAGTTGAGTAGTCCTCAATCTTCTACCGGTCGTTTTCGGTAGATGGGCAGATGGTGCGGTTACTGCTGACCTATTACTAAAATTTACAGTCACATTTGCTTTACCTCTACAAATGCCTGTATTTGGCGTACATTTTATAGTTTTTAGATTTAATTGTGAGACAAAACTTGAGATAACAAAGCAGTGACGACGCGAAACTTTCCTGCAAAGTTTGTGAACTAAGATCTAACACTTCAGCAGAAGTTAAGTTTAGTTTCATGAAATAATGAATGATCCAGCCTTCCAAAGCTGGTTCGGTGTCGTGACCTTGGCTAAGAGTTTTACTAACTTTGAGAAAAACGGTCATTATTTTCGTAATCCAAAGATATGTCGGTCTTAGGAGTGGCTTCAAGATGAACCCCGACATTTTTAATACAGGCATGCGCTCTAACGGAACATTAATAAACAATCGAGGTTTTGCAAAAAGTTAGTTGGAGACCCACTTGACGTTTATGGAACGTTGCTCTTTCCACCTCGGCCAACGGTTTACACTGGCTAATGGATACGCCAAAGGGTGATTACTTAGGCGTATAGTTGGGTCATAGCAGTTAGCTGAAGAATGGATGCGCATCCGATAAATATATCAGCAATTATGTAAAGTTGATAAATATGCACATTGAACGGCTTGCCACGATGATTCCACAGAGTAATACACATCCAAGTGGGCACAGAAACTAACCCAATCAGAAGGTCAGCCAGCGCCAGCGCCAGCCTAAAGTAGGTTAAAATTAAACGCCTTGTAGCCGTGTACTTTTTATTTTATTTTATTTCTCGTTCAATGTTTTTTTTTTCTTTAGCTTTTGGAGTTGATAACAATAATTACTTTAATGTAATATGTTATTCAGTACCGATCAATTTACTTGTCTGTACAATGTAGCTGTAATTGTGAAACCCCACCAAGAAGTTTTCTAATTTATGTTATTATTTGTTCGCACCTGTAGTATTATAGTATTATAGGTAGTGTTTATGTTGTATTTTATGTAGCTGTAGCTTGTAAGTAATGTCCACTTCGTAGTGTACATAATTTAAATGTATTACAAAATAAAATTTAAAAAAATAATAATAAAAGTTACCGTGCATAATATTATATTACATAGATCTTCAGTCAAAGTTTGTTGCTCTCTTCAGCCGATACATTCTCTTTTTCTTTTTGTTCAAACAGGGAGCCGAGTCTCCTAATGTTAGCATACGACGACACAAATTCAGATGGAGCCCTGGGGAGACACTGTTGGCAGCTTTCTATGCTCGTCTTACGACTCTGATCTGAAGTGATACTCAAGCTTCTTAAAGGCAGAGTGGACAAGCTGCTGTGGCGTCTTCTAAACACTTCATTCAAACCAGGTCCTTTTCTTATAACCAGACGCCGCAGAATCACAGAAATGGTCCTGCGCAGGTCGGTGTTTCGGTGAGAGTACAAGAATGGATTAATGGCACTTGAACTGTAATGCATCCATTTAACAAAGTGCAGTAGGCGAGAAAAAATGATCGGCTTCGGGAGAGCTTTAGGATCAAACGTGGCCAGCATTGTCAAGGTGAAAAGTGGAAGCCATGCTATGATGAACAACAACGTTATGAGAGCGATGGTCCCACAAAGTTTCATCTACAGCAAGAAAATGGATAAACCTTGGTTAAGTTTTCCATCAGTGTACGGTAAAAGTTGCATTTATTTTTCGTCACTTTTACACTATGTACCTAGCCCTTTTCTCTCTCTCCACCCTTCTCCAACTCCCCCCCCCCCCCGCCCTTCTCCATTTCTGCCCTTTCTCATCTTTTCTCAGAAGAAAGCGTTTATACAAACCTTACCTCCTTATCTAAAGACGTTTGTGTCTGATTTTGGCTCTGTAATTTTTTCCTTTTCATAGCAACCACAAAAATGCTGCCGTAAGCAGTGATAATGATCAACACTGGAATGAAGAAACAAGCACTTGCTGTAAGAATGGTGTATGGCACCTGCCAGTCCGTTCCATACTGCAAAGGCTGTAGTGAAGACAGAACAGCAGAGAAAACCCAAATTGAGGCTACTGTAATGTACAAGGTTTTCTGTTGAAGACGGCGATGCTGAAATGGTCTCAGAATGGCGTGGGATCTTTCTATGCCAATAGCAGTTAGCTGAAGAATAGATGCGCCTCCGATAAATATATCAGCAATTATGTAAAGTTGATAAATTTGCACATTGAACGGCTTGCCACGATGATTCCACAGAGTAATACACATCCAAATGGGCACAGAAACTAACCCAATCAGAAGGTCAGCCAGCGCCAGTCCTATTATCAGGGTGTGTGTGAGAGCTCTGCGTAGCCATTTGTTTAACACGTAGGCTGAAACAACAAGGCTGTTACCACAAAGGATAGTTATCACAAGAATTCCATAACACGCCAACGAGAGGTATACCTCGGGTGAAGAGCGTCTCGGTTGTATATCTGCGGATGACGGATTGACCGGCTGCAACGTGGTCACGTTGCTGTCGAGTCTTGGGGAGTATGTGCTGGGAAATAACATCAAAATATTGTAACAATTACAGCCTCGTCGTGCTGCACAATATGCGCCTGTCTACAGTCTCGTAGCTTCGCGCGCTGTTTCTCCTTCAGTTATTTTATCATCAAGTTTGAAACATTTCTGTGGACAAAATAAATAAAAAATAAATGTGATGCTGATTTCCGATTGGTTATCGTAACTGGGCTGCTTGACCGTGATCAGTTACATAACGTAATGTTGCTTCTCCTGCTATTAAGTATTGATTCTGAAACGAACTTTAGGAAAATTAATTTTTCTCTATTTTTATATCCTATCGTTTCCTGTGCCAACATTACACTAGGTGGTGATTTTTCCGTTAGGGACAGAGCGGAGGAGGAGGAGAAACGCCCCCATTCCCCCCCCTCCCACCACCATCGATGGGACATTGAACCTTCTGCTGCAATTTGATATGCTCTTCATGGGAATCATTCACTGCAGCAGATTACTAGAATGCTTCTTGTTTCTATGCAAGAACGGATGGGATTTTTACCCAGTTCCTCTAATCATTCCTGATAGGCTCAACAAAATTGATTAATTCCATGTAATAATTAAATTTTTTATGGAGATTAAATCGTTCATCCATAGCATTGTGCTTTCCCTTTTAAATTAGATTTTGTTCAGTATTATCAAACATCATTACTCAAACCCCAAGTTTGAAATGGCAAGGAGTTAAACTTCTGTAACGACAGATTTTTAACTAAATGTCGACAACTATTCCATTCACTGGTACGAAGCACAGTTTGCGTCCACGATCAATATCGGTCACAGCCATTTTTATTTACATCGCCAGGACAGACGGTATCCTTAGAAGTAAAAGTCTGTTAAACTCGATTATTTTATGTACCGTTGCCTCATAAAAAGTAACTGGTGTAGAATCAATCATTTCTTGTGATTCAAGAAAAAGGAAACGAGCTCAATTATCAACATTTTGAAAATGAAGTCAAACTTGCAATTAATATTTTCTTATCCACATCATTTTTAGTTTTAAAAATTCAATTTGGAATACGCATCCGAACGCAGTTTAATGTCACACGAGGATAACTGATCCATCTGTGTTATGAACCATACAATACCAGAAAGCAACATCGTACACGGACTTATAAAGAGTACCAACCTTTACGATGGGTGCGAACAATCATATCTAAGTAGTTTTTCTTTCAACCATCTGTAAACACCTTACTTAGCTTTGTGATTGAACAATAAATCCACATTTAGGTCTTCCATGGTTTTTTACCTTCAGCCAGAAACACAAAATACACAGTCGTAGGTGGGAGGTACAAACCTTTGAAATGTATTCGAAAAAGTACGAAAAAAGCAATTTCACGAAACAGAAATGTTTACCTTTTCGAGACGACGAAGATTTCTTACGGGAAGGTTTTGGCCTTTATGCCCACTCTCCATATGTTTATCCCGTTGCTATCGTGCACATAACATCCGTCCGGAGGTGCATGACAAGCTTTTCCAGTGCGAAGCAATCACTTGATTGCGTCTTTTCATGCAGCCCTTTGTCTTGATAAATGTATTCATATTTAAGCTCAAAACACTTCCACCCATCACTGCATTTATCTTCAAAAAATTACCGGTTAGCGCACGTTCTCAAATCCCGACGGTAATTGCTATTTGGATCTTCGATTTTTTTTTTCATCTATCTCTATCTTTACTCACCAATGTTTTGATTTGACCGGCCGAATACCTCCTCTTTCAACGCAATTGAAAGTGTAGACGCATTACAGAGACTGAAAGGTTTTCAGTGATACAAAAATAATCCTCTACACATCTGGATTAAGTGAGCAATTAAGGTTAAAGTCCTAAGTCTTGATAAAATGTTTAGAATCTCTTGATTAACATTAAACCCTAACCATATCAAGTGAAGGCAGTACAAATAAACATGCGGATCTGTTAATAAATGTTTTTCTAATTTTCATCACATATTGACCTATTCTGTTTATTGAGATGTCGGCATGTGTACAAAATAGGATGGCTGAACTTCAGGTGAGCATATGAAAGAATTAGTTAATTACAACAATTAAAAGGACTTTACAGCTGCTCATTTTTAGCTCTACAGCTTAATTGCAGCCAGGTATCGAATTACTAATCAGACCTGTAAGAAACTTCCAGGAAGCTCAAACTGCGCACGAAGTATAACCATTGAAGTTATATAATGTTTGATTTCAGCCTTTGCTCCTCTTTGGCGTGAAAGGTGAGGAAAACATGATCTTCACATCGCCAGCGACCACTTAGTATTAATCTATTCTTACCAAAAAATTTTGGAACCCCTTGCGATAAATATTTTTGTTCTGTCAGCTACAAGTCAGCAAGTGAACTCTCTTTGAATTCTAGTAAATTATATTGCATTACACACGATATGGAAAGATTCATGTTTATTGAATTTAAAAACAACGTTGGATAGTTCGATAAACGTAAAATTATTTACAAATTGCAAACATTAGGTATCAAACTTATAATGATTTTCCTCATAAAGTAATGGCAGAATATTCACTTATTGCTGATATTTCATTCAGATGCCAAGCTAAGTTCTTCAATGTCACTTTTCTCCATGCGAAATAGTCTCCAATCCGGCATGCTTTTCGCTCCCAGTTTTCTGTAAAATCCTATAGTTCTTTCCGAGGAAGGTGAAACCCATTGCATTCTTTGACAGTCACACGACTTGGCAATCTGGTAGAAATAAAACCCTATTATAGTGGTGTTTTTTAGAGCTAGTTTTCTTGCTTACCAATAAAAGAAGAAAACACGAAAATAACATGGCATGCTCGGAAGCGCCGCTTTTGGTGTGTATTCCATCAAAACATTGCTGTTTGTTTGTTTGTTGTCATTGGAATTAAGTTACCTTCGCTATCGCTGCCATTAGTGAACTTCCTATCCCTTGACCTAATATGCAAAACAGAAACATTGATTTCGGTGATTAGTAAGTAAATAATCAACTCAGTTTCAAGTCTAATATTGTTTCCAACCAAATTAGATAAAAGAGATTAAATTACTATAAGATGAGATTGCTATCTTGTTACTATATTATCATGATTATTTTTGTGCTTTTTACACGGAGTAATCGTTAGCATCATCTTAAAGCTGCTTTTTCAGGCAGAAGTCACACGGTGAGCTCCATCAGCGAGACATCAACTTACCTCGAGCATTGGGAGTGACAAAAAGATCTTCCACGTATAAAACAGGACCCTCCCATGTAGAGTAAGTGAAGTAGTAAATGGCAACTCCTAAAGCCTCTTTGTTCTTTTTTGGCGCCTCCAGGTTTTGTGTTGGAGTATGATCATTTAACTCTGATAGCAAATCAAACGTTACTGCTAGTTAGTTCATTTAGTCATAATGTTAATCATCTGAGTTCCCTTCTCTACCTTCTCCTTAGAGGATTTGAACTTTGGACTTTCGGATTTTGTGGGTCACCGCTCTATGTGCTGCCATTGAAACACGGTGATCTTTGTTTTACCTTTTTGACAAAACCAGTAACATTCTCGTTTGCTGGACGACCATGCCCAAAATGTATTCTATTTTTGTGAGCCATTAACTTTCGTAAAGTTCCACATCAACCTCGCTGTACAAACGTCAACAAATACTAGTCAAGGAGATAGTTTCTCAGTATTCCCTTGTTCAGGTAACAGATAAGAAGAAAGAAAAATGACCCAGTACTGTACCTTCGATATTTTCTACTCTCTCTTCAGCAATAACACAGTGAAACAAAGGGTGTTTGCCAAATCCGTCACGAAGAAGCTCTATAGTAAAACACATGTTTAGTAACAAGTAAACTCAATTAATCTAAAAAGTATATGCAGCTGTAACTGCACTCGAAAATTGTGTATACCAGAAGCGAAAGAGATTGACGACCTCTATCCTAAACTTGATTTTATTCAGTGCAGTTAAATTTGGTCAATCGCACTTCTAATTTTATTCAATGAAACATGGTAAAGCTATCTATCACGTGATACACTAGAGCCATGCCTCCTTGACAGTGCAGAGAATTATATAGTGTGTTTACGTCCATCTTCTTTTCGGTGTTTTATAAATGCATCTTATACCCTTTTCTCCGATCTTCAGCTCGTCTCTCTTGCCCAAGTAATCCGCAAGATCCTGCATTAGAACAAGGTTAATTAGACTAGTTTCCCGAATGTTTATAATCGTAGTCTTTTGTATTTGCCGAATCATGCAACAAGCATTTTTTCTTTTTCTTTTTTTCAAAATCCATCGGCTCTGAGGTAAATATTAGTCTCGGCCGATGGTAATATTAACCTAAGTCCGATTTTTGCGACACAAATTTTTACTGTTTCTGGGAGTTACTCGATCCGTCACTTTATAGTGATTTTTCTGACATTTCCATGATTTAAACTTCAATCATTTATTTTAGAACTGCAGATAAATTGGTGAGGTTGTATTCACCATAATTATAATTAAACGTCGATTCATTTTTAAATCACGTAAGATTGGATCACTGGCAAGGTAACCTATATTTTGTAACAAAAATAAAAAAGCGTTGATATTTTTAGGTGCATCTCTACGTAAAGAAAAATCCTGAACAACTGTGTAACACAATTGTTCAGAAGGAGCTCGACCACCCGCTAACTCGAGTTGACGAATTTTTGTACTTTTAAATTTTCATCGTCAAACGTTTGTGAAATAAATTTCACCCGGTCGCCACACGTTTCGTTGATTACTCGAAAACCCAATTAAAGAGAATATCTTAAACGAGCAGCAGGAACCCCTGACCTTGTCCCTGCTCATTGATATGATGAAACTGTGTTCATTGTACCTGAATCATCTTTGCAATGGAAGGTACGTCCTGTCTATTTGCTTCTCGAACTCCGTAATGTGACTTGAAGATTATAAAATGAGAATTTAACAACGGATTGTTGAGAGGTTGGCAGGCTTTGTTCTCCATCAGTTATTTTGTTCTTTCACTCAAGCTACGTGCAGCGAATGTTCTCTTCTATAGTAAGAGCTCTACAAGGTTCGTGGTGATATTCTGAAAAAGAAGGAGTGAGTTTTTTTGTATGGTGCAAACATATGTGACGAAGATTGCTCGTCAATTTCCGTTGTATTGTGTTGATTTTGCTCGGCTCTATTCGTGTCAGGCCGAAGACTTCTGTGCGCATTTTCGAATCAGTTCGGAGAAAATTCTCCGATGAGTCGATACCGCCGACCAGAAGACTTCCTGCCTCACTAGTTCATAAAGTATGAAAAGGCACCTTTCGTCAGATAAAAAAAAAATGTTGGAGTTCATGTTTATAACTATGAACGCCCAGGAGGAAGTCGCGGATATTTCTGGGTCAACTGTTATATTTCTAACTCGTGTATTTGCCGTCGTTTTGCCAAAATCTTAGACGACAGGACCTCTCTGTCAATAAAGCTAACTTACTATAAACAAGATGAGGTTTAAATCCTCATATTGGACTCAGGACAAATATTGAACATCTTTGTTTACTAACAGATTAAATTCATAAAATTAGACCAACACAGAATGATATGAGTTCATTAGATTTTTTGTTATTTTATGAAATCACTGATGACAATATTTAGACAAGTAACGGAATTACACTCAGAAAAATATTTGCTCTTCCCGCTCACCTTTAATGACGTCATTAAGTCACATGACCGATTTCTTGACGCGTTATAACAGAGCTCTATTGTGGCCAGTGCACTTATCACACCCTAGCTACCATACAAGGCACCAGAATGTCCCTTGCGACACTCCTCTCCATGATCTGTCTGATTGTTTTTCTTCCACAACAAGCCAACGGTACGTTTCTTTTCCCACAAAACGGACTTTTTTATTAATGGGTAGACCCATGTTAGGGTATTCGGCTATAAGCCTGTAGCTTAACAAACTTTCTACGAAATTCGTATAAAAAACACGTTTACTCTGCCGCACATTCAAGCGGACTTAGACCCGAATTTTTTCAGGTCATTTTGTGTGACGAAGTTAATGTCTTGTGGCATCCAATTTACGGAGGCATAGGGAACAAAAGTTAGATTGAATTGCGCGTCTGGAACATGAAAAAGCTGCGACTTTTCATGAGAGTAGAAGGCTACATGTGGTTTAATTAGGTGATCTTATCAAATCATGAAAACCTTACACTGTTACGGAGAAACACTAAAAAGCGAAAAAATTATATATTTTCGATATAGTTAACTCTGAATGTAACGAAATCAAAATTGAGAACATCAAAGGTCCGAAGATGAAAAAGATGGTGAGATGACGAAATCCATTCAATCAAGCGCAGTTTAAATCGCAGTTTTTCTTTAAACTAAAAGACAATTTGAAAAAATGTACCATCTTAGGCCCTTTTCATTTTAGCATATATTTTGTTTCCTTTATTAGTACGAACACGAAACCTGAGATCCGAATTTATTGCGATAAAAATCCACTGGTCGTAAATTATGTGTGTACAGACGCAGTCAACATTTCACATTGAAAGACAATCTTGAGAGGTGTAGAATTTATTTCCTTTTGTAAGTGCCTACTCTGTAGAAACTTTATGAACTTTAGAAGTGCCTCATTCAAACTTAAGTTTTTCTTTCCGGCCGTTAGCTGACTCTGTGTTTAACAAACGCAGAACTGTGTGGTTTCATACGAATTCACCGTAGTGCGGTCCCTCGCCTTAATCTCTCTAACTTAAAGTGAAAGAGTGACTTTTTTCCATCGTGTTTGAGCAGATGTACGGCGATGTATAAACAGCTAAAAGAATGAAAAAGAGGCAATGCATGTCGCCGGTTATGGTGGGAAATATTGCTTTCACTGTTTACCAAAATCTTTACCCACTCTTTATTGATAAAATTAAACGTTTCCCATAAGAGAAACTGATTATACTGGATACTGAACGGAGTTTGGTTCTCTGAGTTCGTGTGATGAAAATATTCACTTTACTGTTTGATTCCGTCGATTATTAGACATGACAGCACCGTCATAGAGTTTACAAAGATGCCACTAGTAACACTGATTTCCGCCAGAAGCCCATTACTTCTGTTTCCACCAAGTGCACGACCTCTGAAAAAGCTTTCCCGGTAGTGCCTACATTCTCAATTCCACTTGCGTGTCCTGATGTGCAATGATATTTCGTGTGTGGCTCAGGATTGTTAAGTGCGTTGTTTGTAGCATGAAGGGACTGCCTCTCCCCCACACAGGACTGTGATCCTTTCCCATGTCTCCTCTCAAAATTAGACCATGTGACTTACTGTCAAACTAAGAGCAAAACTTCCGTTCGGTGCTTGTACTTAGATCACTCTGTCCATACAAAAATCGCTGAATCGACATCGATCAGTTCTCCTATTATATTCATTACCTAAAATTATGAAGTTTGATGGTATGCAGTGTAAGATCAATAGAGTTTTTTCTTCATCTGCCTGTTATTTCTAATTCCAAACAATTCTTCAAATATTGGAGACATACTTCATATGGTTATTGCAAGATTGAATTCTCCTCTGAATAATTAATATACCGACAACGCTTCTTTTTCGATGGTGAATTTAGAGTTTGCAGTTAGTTCCTTATTATTTCGGGCCTTTAATGCTATGTTAATATTCTTTTCAATTGCATGTTTTGTTAAGTACACATTATTTGCTCAGCATAATTTTGCATAAGGATAAATTGTCATTCACACAGAGAAAATTTATGTCCCAGATTATTTCACGCGATAACTTCCGGTCAGGTTCTCTTTACGTCAGTCCTTACCACTGACAAAACTGTCACGTGGACGATCAGATACCACGATGCACTGTTTGATGGTGTACAGAGCACGGATGTGTTTCTCTTCATATCGTTATTTTTGCTATATAGCATTGAATGGTTTACTTCACACAGCAGTGACTTCTTAAGTTCGCTTATGGTCTTCTCTGTAGGTTACCCTTCTGTCAGTGATGATAAATGTTGCAAGAGTATTGTGCACTCTTCATGCGTGATTTGCATTCAAATTTCTTTGATCCTTCGTAGATGACTTTCAGTTGTCACTGAGTAAAAAAATGACCGTAAGATCTCTCATTTTATGTCACAATGTAAATGGACTCTGCTTTCCTTTTCCTGCAGGCCAGCAAATATGGCAGCAGATCAACTTATCCCCGGTCTGCTTTTTTGCCTCAGGACAAAAACCTGGCGATTTCCAGTATGTCGGTGATGGGAGGCTTGTTGCTGCAATAAAACTTGTTTATCGCAGCGGGCTTGTAAGATGTGAAAGGAACACCGCCTATAATAGTCGCTGGGGTTGCTATCACCATAATGGTTACGTTAAGAACCCGCTAAATGTCGTGATAACAGATCGACAAGATAACATACTTTTTCCTCAGGAGAAGTTCATTAAAAATGCCGGCCTTTGGTACTATCTTCCATTCACTGACGCTCTTCATTCCAATGAACTTGTGTTCACCAACTATGAGAGCCCATTTTATCTCCCAAAGAATTCCATTATGAAAATCTGGTACGGAGAGGACTTGAGAAATTGGCGAAACCACGACAACGGTGGAAGGGTCTGTGTGGATGTGTACGGACACCTGCAGTAAATAGCAGAGCCTATTTAACTGACTTGATTAGCGCTTCAAATATCAAACTGTTAATTTAAAAAAAATTTAATTTAAACCTACTGTTGAATATAAATAATTCTACCGTGCGATACAAAGCAACGATTTCAATTTAAATGTAGTCAAAGCATGTGGTCAGAGTAAATAAAATTCATCACAAATCTTGCAACAGACTATCATGAATGAAGTACAGCCGTATGGAGTTGTATGTTATATGAAGATGCTTACACCTCTAAATAAACACTGTGAAGCTATTTGCTATGGGCAAACAAACATGATTTAGAGAGCCACAAATAACACACAAGTACATGAAGGAAAAGTTCGAAATATCACTCAGCACGACCGCTATTTCTGCCTCTTTTATAATAACCTTAAATTTTTACGTTACCGCAGAAAGTTATCTATTTGCGCACTTAACTCCTTTTCCCACCTGGTTAAAATGTCACTTTTTCTGGCCTTTTTTCCTTTATTATGCCCGCTAAACGATTCTTTTTTCACATTTGCACCCGCAGCGATCAAAGATAACCCAGTTGCTCTTTGGGCTAAGATCAATCAGATTCCTGTGTGTTTCCACGCGCAAGGGCGACGGCCTGGAATGTTTCATTACCTGGGTGAAGGCAAATTAGTTGGTGCAATTAAACTTGTCTTTGTACGAGGCTCTGTACGGTGCGCTAATGATCCTAAATTCAGCAGTCGATGGGGTTGTTACCGTCATCCCGATAACGTCAGGCATCCTCTGAACGTTGTAGTCACGGATGCAGACAACCATGTTATCTACCCCGCCGAGAAATACATCATGAACACAGGCCTGTGGTATTACTTGCCTTTCACAGACGCTAAGAGCTCTAATCAACTGGTGTACACTGACTATGCCAATCCCTTTTACCTCGAAAAGTACGCAACGATTAAGATTTGGTATGGAGAAGATTTAATGAAATATGATAATCATGACAATAGAGGTAGAGTTTGTGTGCATGTGTGGGCGCACCTCATGTAAAGAAAAAAAACTTTAATAAATCATTTTTACAACTCTCTTGACTGTGACTCTTGGCAACAATGTACTAATTAATAGTAAGTAAGAATCTAGCCAATCAGATTAAAGGATTTGCTGTAAACCACAATGATGTCTGCACAAAATACACTTATTAGTTTCAATAATTACATTACTGTCTTAATTTACTTATTTATGCTTAGCATAAGTTTAGCTAGTGACTGCTTTAATTATTAAATATAATAAGCCTGTTAAAATATCAGGATTCTCTAAATTAAAGCACTTGTTAAAATGGAACCAAAGATAGTCCAGATAATTTTCTTCACTGCTTACAACCAATATCCTTTATTTAAGGACGCTGCCATAAAAAAGAGAAAAGCACCTCTAAAAATATTTTAATTTCTAATTAATACAAGAATTTTTGTTTCCACACTTTAATGGTCAGATGAGCTAAAAAACGTGTAACGTTTCAAAATTTAAAAATATCAACAATAGATTGCACAGTAGCATTCAGCTTTGATTAATTTCTGTCTGTTCTTTCACCATCCATTTCTTGTCCATAAACTTGGTGATTTCAGAATTAACTATTGGATGATCCAGACGGTCTTTCCACAACCTGTCAATCTGAATGGAGACAGATAACTTAAAGTCACATTTAAACCACTGTAATGGTCATTATCATTTAATTTGCAGCGATTTTGTTGTGGATGTGAAATCCAAAAATCTGGCACATGATGTGACATTGATTTCACATAATACTGACCCACAAACACATTTTTCCCTCCACACTTGAGACATTCTCTTTCAGTACTTGAAAAACAAGTGTGCAGCAACAAACCAAATAAAAATTCAATACACATGTCAAATTGAAAAGGGTCACCTTGACAATAAGCTTGATATATAAGCTTATCAAACCTCACATTCTAAGACTGTCAACTTGATATGGATTTGGAATTGATAATTATGGTTAATCACTTAATCAATTCTATATGAAATGTCATCATAAATGAGTTAGCAACTAACCAGTGGTTCTGTATTCCATCCAACTTCTTGAGCTGATGTTTGTGGGAATTTGAATTTCTTAACTGGTGTTTCATTGGACTTTTTGATGACCTCAAGGAAATTGTCTAAAGATACAAAAGATAACAGTGTCATGCCACAATTCTATTGTGGTGTCCAGCTAATAGAGATTTCCATTCAAGTTATTTCATGAGGTCCAATTTGACACCCCTACTGGCTCTTGTCTGGATTGTAAGCAAGTTTGTATAGCAAATTCAGTACTTTGCATGTTATGTGCAAAACTGAAATTTAATTGAAAATGTCTAACTTAAAAACTTGTTTTCATAATTCTAAAGATGAAATGGCAAAAGTACTGTCCAAGAGAGGTAATAATAATTGCAAAAACAGCCTGGTACATGTACTCTTCTATTTTCAATAGATATCCACCAGAAGCTGAAATATGTTCTACTCAAATAATGCAATGCCTAGCCTTGCAGGTCACTAATTTACTGTACCACACTGGTAAATGTGTTCATGTTACCACCTATTCAGCTCTAATTTTCTCACCATCGCAAATTCTTAAGGAGAAGTTTTGTGATTGATAATGTTATTGTTTCCAAGTGATTTAATTGTTTGTATTTGTTCCGGTATGGTTGCATTTATCAAATTGCTGAAATTATGGTAAGTTTCTTAACAGTGTGGCAGGAAATTCAAAGTGGAATTGAAGTACCCTGGATCTTGATAAAGCATCTACAGTGGGCTTAATAATTATTTCAAATCCAGATAAGAAGCTACTTCATCATGCTGCATACAATGATAGGTCTTCTCCAGCACAGTGACAACCATGCTAAGGTCAGTGGGTTTATGGTCAATTCACCTCCATAACCAACTCACCTTTACCAAACTCCCCACCACTAAGAGTCAAATCTCTACTGGTGGCCATTTGACTCAGGTGTTATGTTTAGCCTCCCTTTTGAAACTTACATTAAATGGAAGCTAACTTTTAGTAGTGTATTGCCAACATAGAAGCCCAAACAAATACAGCCAAAGGAACTCACACTTAATGTGTAGTGTCTCAATTATGCATTCTCTACTTTTGGGCTCTGGAGGACACAGTTTTCATAAGACAGTCAAGTGACTTAATCTAAAGGAAGTATTTTGAACAGAAGTGAATTCAAAGCCCATTTCAGGTAATTTGAGTGCTTGTTAACTCATCAATGGTTGCCACACAATTGGGGAAATTTGAACAGCCAAACTGTTTGCTTTTCATTTCAGAATATACCTTTTGGGGTGTGCTCCTTCATCAAAAAGTTTTAAACAGTGTTTAGAAATCCAAAGAAAGAGCTATTAACAATAATACTTTGTTCTGCAATGATGTTGATTGAATAATTTAACAAATGTTGCTGTTGTATGGAAAATCACTGACATACTACTTATCATATTAATTAATTCAAAGTTTGATCTGTTTGCACTTCAGGGACTCCTAGAGGATGCCAAGTTGATTTCTGAAAAATTGTACCGTGTTTCCACACACTTTTTACATCCAAACCAAAAAGAATGAATAAACTTCACGATCTAAACTGTCATATAATACAACTTTCATTAGATCTTATTACAAAATTCAGGTTAAAGGTTATGTCTACATTCTTGTGCTTAAAACAAAGAAAAGACTCCAAGTCAGGTTTCATACGACGGGCTACACATAACGTCAAAGCAAAATCGCCAAAGGTGGCGATTTGACTCTTAGTGGTGGCGAATTGACCGGACACCGGTCACTGTTTTCCTGCTGTTCTTGTGGATGTGCATGTAAACAAAGCTTCTCACTTACCATCTTCTTCTCCATCCGCAGAATCGTGCACAGAATTCGGTTTTCCAGTGAGCGTATACACTAAATAAAAACAACAAGTTTTTTAAGTTCAAAAAAAGTATTATCGTAAACTAGCGATCCAAGGAAAACAAATTACTAGATCGTACTCTTGATCAAATTGCTTACTTTTCTTAAACGGGTTAATGCTGTAGTTGGTGTATAATTTGTGATTTTTTTGCTCCTTCTTGATCGTTTCGCACAAAATAGCATTTTGATGAACATAATTCACTTCAGCATTTCCTTTAGATCCCATTGTTCTGCTTGTGTTTGCCGTTTACTTCTCCCAGTCTTGACCCACAAACTCCACTAAATCCAAAATGGCGTAACATTAGTTTTTATGTTATCTGTAGTCATGGAAACTTAACTAGTTTTCAGCTTTACGCGGTGAGTGTTCACCGAGTACGACATACTCGTTGAAGAACTAAGGCCAAAAAACTCTGATCAGATGAGCTTTTTTCTCGGTATTGTCTTGCCACTGGCCTAAAAATGTCACATCCATAGACGAAAACTAGTTGCAGGGTCGTCTTCGCCCCAGCATTTTCTGACATCGTCAGCTGCTGAAATCATTGTCAGCCGAAGGTCAATTGGTTTTAGAATTCCTGTGATTGGTGAAGTATTGTAGCTTGTGTACAGCTCTCCTGTACGTTTAGTGAGCCAATGGCCATCAGAAATTAATTTCCTCAATCTCTAGAAGTTTCCACGTAGCTTACTTTCACAATTTAGCTTTGATCTTATTGATCTTATATTCTTGTTTCAGTATACCTTTTTAATCGTAGTAGTGTCGGTCTTTCAATCAGAAAATCACAATGCAATGATTGAGTTATTGTTTTACTTAAACCTCAAAGTTATTGAAATGCTTTTTTTGCCGCACATCTGTCCCAAGAGGCCACTTACAAGTCATCAATAAGGACCATCTAGTTGTTAAGATCCTCCTTGAAAATGTTATAATGGGTGTCCAGAGTGTTATTCGTATCACGTACGCCATTGTAGTTAGTACAGAGGACGCTGTTCTAATCTGCTGTAATATCCTTCTCTATGTAATTAGAAAGAATACACGATTTTGGTCGGGGGAAAAAACCAAACTTACCGTCTAACAGTAGCGTCAAATAGTATTTTTTCTCAGTCATCGAAAAGTTCTCTCGGGCAGCTCGAAAAAGTAAACAAAGGACAATTTTCCGCTCAATTGTTTGATTGTCAAGTTTACATCGAGTCATAGGATAGTGACTGACGAAACTTAACGCTGAGAATGCCTAGTGCAGCGACCGAACCCAAGTCCACTTCATGGAAAGTTACAGCGCAAGTTGCTGAAGAGATGATCAAGTTAAAAAAGGGTGACCCTCGCGTTGCATTAGCACTTCACAATGCAAAGATACATCGGCCAGCATTGTATATTTCTTCAAAAGCCTCTTTGACAAGTAGCGTAGATGACACAACAAAAATGGCCGTTCCAGGGCATAATCAGAATTCTCAGATCAAGACAGTGCGATCCAAAAAAGTAAATAAGATTGACTGCAAGGGAGAAATGTCTTCTGAGGCGAAAAGAACTCGGAGGTCGGGAAACAAATCCCAAGAATTTTCTCGCGAACAAATTTCAAGTCCTTCTGGATCAAAATTCGATTTGAATTCGTACCAATTAGAGAAGAATACTGCCACCGTTTACAACGAATGGGAACCTGACCTATCCCTGGAGAAAAGTGAGAATCAAAGCAGTAAACTGGTGACACTATCAACTGTCAATGTACAACCTTGGGAAAATGATTCAGTTCAAACAGCTAACGATAATAGGCAGCCATCCGGCCTAAAGGGTTTTATGGACAAGCAAGTCAGAAGAGCTGAAATATCTCGTCTTGTTTCACTTCAACAGGATAGTAACGTGCGTAGATTGCATGAACAAATTAAAACATGTGCTGATGATGACTGTACAGTTCAACATACAATTAAAAAAATACACAGACCAGGAAGAAAAACATGTTCTTTCGCACTTCGTGAAGGTGAGCTCGATATCAGCAGACTTTCTGAAATACTTCTGATAAGTTCAAAAATGCCATGGAATCCCTGTTCACCGTACCGCCTTCCTCATGTAAAAAAAAAGTATAACACCAATGGGATAAAACGCATGGATTTTCCAGTCTTCGAGAGAGGTCCCGTGATGTCCCTGATGAAAACGGATTGTCATCTTTGTACAGAATGTAGAAAAAAATCTCAAAATCTACCAAGAGTATATGGCGCTGACAACGAATCGGAAAACCTGACCCGTCTTAAATACAGGTTGAAACTAAAAGAACGCCAGCTCTTGGAAAAGAAAGACGGTTTTGATAAACCTTCTGGACAAAGTGTGAAACAAGATAATTCGCAAAAAAGTTCTTCTCTTGGGCAAAAAGAAGATCTTAGTGCTAGCAAGCTTGAAGAATTAGCATTACCAAAGTTGTACCTTTCACATCACTCTACTGCCACCGCAGTTTGTGAACAGAAACTGAGAACACCGAGGACACTGTCAAAGATTACTGATACTACCCTGAGTTTAGAAGAGCGTTCAAACCAACGGTACCACAAGGTGGTTAAAATTGAGAGAATCTCTGCTCAGGAACAACCTTTGAAAATTTTAACTAAAAAAGGATCATCCTCAACAAAGTTGTGTGATTTTTCAGGTGCTCTACCTCCCCTGACGAGTGATTTGCGTGTCTTGGCCTCTCCACTTCGTGGTTTTACTCCTCAGTATTGCAGTGACTTAGCAAAAAGTCCAATACTTTGGAGAGAGAATTCTGAACTGAAAAAAGCAAAACAGGAGGAAAATACCAAAACTGAGACGTAAGAGTTTACAGGCGAAAAAAAAAGGAACACATGGATAATTAATTTTTCATAAATTTCCAATAAGACGGCAAGGACATTCAATATAGACAAGAGATTAATGTTATAATCTCTTTATCTAATTAATGAGTAATTATAGGTTGTTGTGCTTTTCAATAATAAATAAAACTTCGATTTCAGGACTCGTTTTAATGCTTTTATCAGTCCTTGTTACAAAACAACAACAACAACAACAAATTCAAATCACAATTAAAAATTCAGGGTCAAAATCCTGCGAAGATCTCAAATCGAGGAAAATTTTCAAATTCTCTTATTTGTTTTTGTTAAAACAGACAAATGGCAGACAGTCACATTTTTACATGACATGAGAAAGAAACAGTTCACATGATTATGAAAGATCCAGTAAGAAATAGATAGGTAGAGAAGAAGGAATATGTGAGTTCAGACATCGAAAATAATTTAAGGATAATTATAATGTAAAGGCAACTTATTCTCTTACTAAACATTCAAAACGTCTTTTTGTTCATGGGAGGGGCTTGTGCGTTAGCCTACTTCTTCTTTACAAACTCTCTCAGCCCCCCCTCCTTAGGTAGTAGCATTGAAGGCCTGGTAGCTAAGAAGGAGAAAATAAATCAACATGGTGAACGTATTGAGCAAGATCGCAGTGCGGTTGCCGGTTTTAAACTCTAAAGCTTCTGGAATTGCTGTTGCAGCAGTTGCTGCTGGCATTATTGTGCTGTGGAAGAAAAAGCTTGACGAGCTGAGTAGTAAAAGGTTGGATTATAGAATTGTACGAACAATTCAATCATGCGAACCATGGCTTGTTCGTCACTGAGATTTTTTGCACTTTGCACCGTCATGCAAACTGCACAGCGCGCTGGTGATTTGAAAGATAGCGATGCCTTTTACTAGAATTAACTGGCTGAAGCTCGGGTAGCGGAGTACGTGTATGTTATTTGTTTTTTATCTTTTGTAACTTACCTAAAAAGTATTCCTTCAATTTGCAGAAAAGATGTGACTGGTGATTTGCATATTACTTTAGAGGAGGTAAATATTATACACTTAATTCATGTTCCCGAGGGAAACAGTTAGTTTTGTTTTCCAGAGAGTCCTGATGTTTCCCTCGACTTCGTCTCGGGAAACATCAGGACTCGAGGAAAAAAAAACTAACTAGTTTCGCGAGGGACCATACATCAAGTGCTTTGTTACATAATTATGTAGACTTTCCCTTAAACAATCATGGGGAAAAAACATGCTCTTGTATTCGGCGTGGTTGTGGGCAACAACTGTGCAATTGTATCCTGGTCGGGATAAGAATCAACCAATCACAGTGCTCATTTTGTTGAGTGAAAGTCTTGGTATATAATGATCATTAGTGTTTTGATTTCCCTGCTAAGTAATTTGAGGCATTGATTAATTTTTTAATATATTTATGAAACTCGTGTAAGTTTACCCTTTTCTAATATTTTCAGGAAAAAAACAGAAAGAAAGGAAAGGCTGCTGTTGATGGTGTGTTTTTTAGGTAATAAAAGTTTATTTACTGTTCACCCTGCAAGAATTTAGAATGAAGAGATGCTCATGATCAATAAAACATTACCAATAACACATTGTTTGTTTCCTGTTAAATTCTTTTGTGCTTAATGCCATAAGTGCTACATGCACAAGATCTTGCTTATGCTACATTAAAAGTCAGTCATGTGCATTAATTGGGTAAAAAACATCACATGTGATTAGTGTTGATTTTAATTTTATGTTACCTCTTTTAAAAGATGCTGATTTTTTCACTTTTTTGGAAAATAGGTTATTTTTTTGCCCACTGATAATGTTAGCCACTCTTCAAACTGGTTATCAAAATGTGGTGTTATTCTCTACTTGTTACGCAGGCAACTGCTCAAGATTTTAAAAATTATCATCCCTGGATGGCTTTCACCAGAGGTACTTAACACACATTAAGCTTTTTAAGATGTTTGAAGTATTGTATACTGATGTTTTCTGTTTTATTTGGTATGATGGCTTAAATACTGAATTCAACCAATTATGTGGGTTATAATCTATTGTCATTTCAATATCTTCCTGTTGCAACATTTGTTTTGGTCATTAAGGAAGGAGAGAGTGAGTGGGCTGGGAATTTTTAACTTCCCAATCAAGAAAACTTGGTTTAAAAGTTTTTGTTTTTCAAAATAGAAATACAGTTGTAACTATTAAAACTTTGTAGTAGTCAGTCCTCAAGTAATATTATTCATTACATCTTTAGAGTGGTTACCTGTTACTTGTTGCTGTATCTCTAATAGCTCGGACATACTGTGATGTATGGATGATAAACAATGGGACATCGATTGAGAGGTATGTGTTCATATTGTTTAATGTTTGATTCTACTAATCATTGCACTTTGTATTTCAAATATCATCTCAAGTTTGTATTACTTTCATATGATACGTGGAATGCTGCAATTTGTCTGCACACTTCACCATAAGCCGTATGACATTACACATCACTATGTGCTATATGACATCACACAACCTCATGTGCCATATGACATCACACATCACCATGTGCTGTATGACATCACACATCACACTTCCATATGACATCACACATCACCATGTGCGATATGACATCACACATCAAACTGTACCAGATGACATCACACATCACACTGTGCTGTATGACATCACACATCACTGTGCTATATGACATCACACATCACTGTGCTGTATGACATCACACATCACTCTGTCCAAAGTCATGTATCTGGTTTTAGTTGCTACATGTCGTGGACAATTTCATAAGTTTATGTACTCAACATGCAGACTTAATAAACTGTTTTATATTTTGTGATATATCAGGTCCATTATTGGCGGTGATTTTGGAGGATTTAAAGACAATCTCCTTGCACTGGTTTATGCAATGCCATTTGTAAGTAAATTCAAATACTTTTTTCAAAGTTTTAATCTTTAAAAATAAGAAAAAGTCTACATGAGTTGGATTTTTATGGGTGAGATCTCTGATATCATCACCTGATATAAAACACAATTACACCCTATGTTAAAGTTGATACATTATTGTGTTTTTATTCTTCACAGATATCTGTGATAAACCAGCTCTTAAAGGTGTGTGTAAAATTTTGATATTGACTGAATCTTAGAAACTTGTATTGTATGGATCCAAAGGTTTTTGCCTTTCTGAAAGCAGATTTTGTTATTTTTACTTTGTATTAATTTTATACTCAAAAGTTTCTTCAGTTTCAATTGCAAAAGTCTTTGGAGTAATTTGTGTTCTGTTTTTCCTCATTCAGAGGTTTTATTAGGTTTGAGGCTAACATTACTTCTTGTTGTTTTTCGTTACCTTTTCTAGTTTGGATTAAGTGAGCTCAAGTTGAGGTTCCGCTCCAGATTAACTCTTCATCTCTATGAAAAGTATCTAAGGTATTTAAATTGTGAACTCTGTTGTGGAACTGTTTTACTCTATTTTTGAAGTGTCAAGTAAAATGCTCTGGGAAAAAAGACCACAGGATAAAATTTGATCTCACTGAAACTTTCTTTTCAGCTCTTTTACTTTCTATAAAATGAGCAACTTGGATAACCGCATTGCAAATGCAGATCAACTTCTAACTCAGGTGGGTGTGTAAAAAAAGATAACATGTGATTTGAGGAAGCACAGCACAGGTCAACTACAATACCTAACAGATACTGAAGGTTTATAAGTGGTTGATGCAAGTTTAGTATATCTAACTGTTACTGGATTGTCTCTTTTATGGTCAGAACAATGTAAAGGGATCAATGGTTTGATAGTTTGTCACCTACTTTTCCAGTTGGTGTATGTTTTGGTCTTAAGCTTCATATTTACTTGCTTGTCTTCTTATGAATGTGGTTTCAAGATTATCACTAGAATCTGTATTTTCTTTTTTCATAAAGGATGTGGATAAATTCTGCAACAGTCTTGCTGAACTGTACTCCAATATAAGTAAAGTGAGTAGTACAAAATACAGAGTTTTACACTGGGTTTCCCTATGCTTAGGGTCAGGATTCAGGATATATTGTACCAAAATATTATTTGTTCCTCGTAGTACATTTATTTACATTTATTTAGTTCTGATTGGCAGCTGTATTTACCTGCTTTTTTATCCTTTTTGATTACAACTATTTACAGCCTATACTTGACATAGCCATATATGTACAAAGATTGGCTGGAGCTATTGGTATACAGGTTAGTATAACAGAACCATCTGCGAAACTTAATCAAATAAATTTATATGTCATTTTATTCAATGAATTTGTATTTTTCTAATGTTTACTTTATCTTATTATTGTCACCGTTTTAGGGGCCAGCCATAATGTTGGGATACTTAGCTTTCTCTGGACTTCTGTTAACAAGGTACTGCTAGGATGTACATAACTATACATTCTTCTCTTTTAAATGAACACTCTTTAATGGTCAGTGTGAAATTTTCCAATAGTTAACTATGACTCTGTGTCAAATTTATTTTTTAGTAGACATTATTCAATGTATCACACATTAAGGAACAGCAACTTTGCTATAGACAATACTTTGTGACTTTGACATGGCATAAGACTTGAATAGAATAAGACTTGAACAGAATAATTTAGTTGAACATTCCATGTGATGATCCAGGCATGGGTAGTTGTGAAAAGGACACAGGTAGTTGCCATTTCATTAACCTGAACCAAAGCTATCACCAGAGTGGATTGTGGAGTTTAAAACCTGACCAATAACGGTTTGCTGACTTAAAAACATATTGGATGTTATGACTTTATAGAAATGGGTATATTAATATAATAATTTGGATTGTTAAATGATTGTCATGCCTGTTTATGAAAATAAAAAATCTAGATTGCGACGGCCAGTTGGTAGAATGACAGCTGATGAACAACATCTTGAAGGAGAGTTCAGATATGTGAACTCAAGGCTCATAACTAACAGGTAAATAAGATTATTGTACATAATTGGGAGACTTAAAATAAAATGACTCTTATGCCTTTTCTTTAATTAGGAGATGCTTACTCAGTCTACAAATGAATATAAATTTTATTTGAGAATGATAAAGAAGAAAATTGTTTTTTATAATTTATGTGGTACCTCAGCATGTTACAGAGAAGGATGTGTAACCCTCTAGAGTAACTTTACATGACAAACTGCAAAAATTGCAGAATACAGCTGCTTGCATTCTGACATTTCAAGGACTAAGGGCAATACAAGCTACACCCTGAGGGACTCCAAGAACAAACTTAATATTCAAATGACACCACATTGTGGAATAGCTGTCGATCCTTACAAGACTAGGTGTGTGGTATCCCTGGGGTTGTTGAAATGAGAAATCAACAAAACTCTCTAAAGAATAGCTGATGAATTGCTTGTGATTAAATAAAATTTAAAAAAGATCCTGATTCAGCCACAGAGTGAGTAAGCTGTTTGGCTGAAGCAGGGCGACATATGGAAAGAGATCTGTATATTCCATCAGGTAATATTGCATAACATATGGTTAGGTTAACTGTTTATTTTGACTTTAAACTTTAGTGAGGAAATTGCTTTCTACCAAGGAGGGAGAAGGGAAAAACTTACAATTGAAAGTACATTTCACAGGCTGGTAAGAAACTTAGATAATTGTAATAATAGTGAATGATTACACAGAATTCTTTATTTACATATTGTTATATTTTTATTTTTTTGTTTTTTGTACCACCATTTCTATCACTTGATAATCAAGGCCTTGTTACTTAGTTATTTGTCTCCACTTGCTGCAACAGGAATGACAAGCACCACTGGATAAAGAAGGAGATAAAAATCTGGCCTTTAGGCTTATTACATTGTTTTGTTTTTGTAGGTTGATCATCTGAGAAATTTCATTCAGTTTAGATCTAGTATGGGAGTTATTGACAATATTATAGCAAAATGTAAGTATTTTACTGGTACAAGAATTGACTTTACCTTTAGATTCAAACACATTTACATGTAGTTCTTTTTCTTTTCATCTATGAGTAGGAGTCAGTTGGTCTGGTTGTGGACTTTGTGTATTTTGTTTTACTAAAAGCTCATATTTTCAAGAGAATCAACTCTCTACTGTCTTCCACTTGGCTAAAAGGAAATGGGAAAGATTCGCTACAAAGGATAGTTCCTTTCTGATTGTGTTTTTTTTCGGTGTGCTGATTGTAGATATAGCTACTACTGTAGGATTCTCAGTTGTCAGTCGTCCTTTTCTGAGTGCATCAAGTACAAGGCACATCAACAGCACACACAGTGAGAGAATGGAGGTTTGTTCAATGCATTTCTAAGGATAGCTAGACACAGACAGACGAGCAGTGAGACAGGAATAGGGTTAGGGGAACCTGTTGTAACCTGTGGAGAAACAGGCAGAAAGACGGGCATACACAGATAGAGGGAAAATATCAGACAGACGAACTGTGAGATTGACAAGGACGGATAGACAGACAACATATACAGACAGAAGAACTGAGAGACAGACCAAAAGACAGACTGACAGAAAGACTGACGGAAAGATAGACAGACAGACACAGACTGACAGACAGATAGACAGACAGACCTAGGACAAACAGCATTAGTGTTCTTGTTAGCTAAATTTCTTTTTCAAATTGTGTCAGGACTACTACAGAAGTGGCAGGATGTTAGTGAAAATGGCAGAAGCTATTGGTCGCCTAGTGTTGGCGGGCAGAGAGTTAACTCGACTGGCAGGGTAAGTTGGTGAACAGAAGCACTAATAAACTCACATACTACTTGCTTGGCTCTAGAATTTTCTTCCTTAAATTTGGGTAACTTGTTTGAAACAAGGAGTAATTTAACTAAAGCTTGGGTATCGATGTGTTTTTCTTCAGGTATACTTCCAGAGTTTCAGAGCTAATGACAGTGTTAAAAGACCTTAGTAAAGGAAAATATCAACGAACTATGATCAATCAGTCGAGTCCACAGGCAGAGGGAGACAGTGAACGGCAAGGTACAAACCACTGGAGCAATATGAATATAATACAAACGTAACATGATTATAATATAAACCATGTTGGGTGATATAAATGCAAGACCTGCGCATGTGAGTTGACGTGAGGCGAGTTTAAGGGCGTCCTTGTTTTTTATGGTTGCGTTTTCTTCGGTTTCTACTCACGACGCGTACATAAGCCGATGGGAAAGTTTCGTACTGGAATCAGTGGGACTGGAGCATATGGTAGTGTTGTCCTTGTGCCAATGCGCTTGTCACGAAACATAAGCTCAAGAATATATAGGGCACAAAACCAGAAAAAACGTAGAGAAAATATCGGGACCCAAAAGATCCATTAAGATCATCGATCACTTTACGTGTACCTCCGCCAATGTTATTTACTGCATAACTTGCACTTATTGCAATAAGTTATACATCGGCGAGACAGGAAGACGACTGGGTGACCGATTCCGAGAACACCTTCGCGATGTAGAAAGAAATGACAAGGACGCATCCAAGCCAGTCGCTAGACACTTTAATCTTCCTTATCATTCTAAACAGCATATGGCAGTTTGCGGCCTTTCCTTACATCTAGGCAGTTCGGAAAGCCGTAAAACACTAGAACAAAAATTTATATTTCAAATCGGCACCCTTAATCCCCACGGAATCAACGAGCGCTTTTCATTCAACTAATTTATTCCTGTTTTCTCGTCACCATATTCCCACCAATGGCGTAGCTCCACTTTCTACATATAAATCCACACACAACCCACAATTCCTCTAATCGCTCTGACGAAGGGCTAACGCTCGAAACGTCAGCTTTTTTACTCTTTACGGTGGCTAATTTACGTTTTCAACCCAGTTGTTAACACTAAATTACCTGCTATACTCTCCCACCGACGCAGCACCACAGTTTCTTTAGAAACTTACCCCTTTATTCAGAAAAAACTTTGACATGCTGTCATTTACCTTGTTCAGTGCGTGTAGTTAGCTGTTACTTTATGGTGAGGAAAAATTAAGGGGATGGGGGAGAGCCATACTGATATCGCTGCGTGGTAAGTAAATTGAAAACTGGGAGAGAACAGTGGGAGAGCAGGTGCAAGTAACAATTTCTACAGGCTCTAGAGAATGATTATCTTATGTTAAGTGCATGGTACAGTTCACAATTTAAGAGGCCGCCATAGGGTGTGGGTTTCATTTAAGTCAAAAACTGACAGAGTGAAGCAGTTGTTGTTGGTCTTAGGAAACGTTAATCAGTGCGTCGTCATCGTCATCATTATAGTATAGTGTATTGTAATTAGTGTTACTGTCGTTCTTGTTGTTCTTACCTTACCGTCAAGCTCACTTAAATTTGTTGACAGTTCCAATTTCGACAGATGGATTCACTGTTTCCCTTTTTCTTATTAGATAAGATTCCTAGGAGCACTTTGGTTCCAAACCAAGGCGAAATAGTTGAAACTGATCATCTAATCAGGTTAGTTCTGTTACACTTTACAGCTTTAAAATCATGTTGTACGTTTGAATTTATTCTGTATGAAACCTGTCATTTAACATGATTGAAGCGAAAAGATGCAATTTTTTTGTTACAGGACTGCACGTCTGCTGTGAATCAGCTTTATCAGATTAGTTTTGTTATAATTTTTAGTCAACATTAAATGGTCTCGTTTTTCGTGGCTATGGGGGTTAATTGTTGCACAATGAAGTTATCAAAATAACAAGAACAAATATTTATTACCACTAATTACTGAATGAAAACAACAAAAAAACACACGAAAATGGTGCTGTAGGGAACTGACTGTGTATGTGACTCGACAAGTGAAACAGTCTTTTCTTTCTTTTTAACAGATTTGAACATGTTCCTCTGGTTACACCCAATGGAGACATTCTAGTGAACGACCTTTCGTTTGAGGTGAGAACCGTCACTAAGGTAAATATGTAACACTTGGCTTGGATGTAATAATTTACTGTCTGTACTCACTGATCGGAATCAATACGGTGATTTAACTAATCATGATACGGTAAACACCGTGCTTCTTTCGCTCCGTGGACCATGACGTTTCTCTCCCAGCGATTGGCTGTGGTTCTTCTTTGAGGATTTAGTGGTTTTTTAGTGATTTGTATTTGTAGTGATACTTATGGGTGACCGTAAAACAATTTCTCAGTAAGGTTTTGTTATGATTGCATATCTTGTACATGTAGCTACTCTATTTTTTCTCCACAGGTACGTTCGGGCATGAATGTGTTAGTTTGCGGGCCAAATGGATGTGGAAAAAGTTCTTTGTTCAGGATTTTGGGAGAGGTAACATTGTTAGAATACTGGATGTTAGTTAATAAACAAATGTTAATCAAGTAAACTTCTTTAGAGAAATCAACAATATTCATAACAATTTTATTTTAAAGCCCTTCTTTTCTGGCAAATTAATATCAAGCTCTTTTTTAAGTAGCTCGGTATTGTTTACACTTGGTTTAATATTGAGGTGTTTTGTTTGACAGCTATGGCCGCTGTTTGGTGGTAAATTAGTAAAACCAAACAAGAGCAAGCTTTTCTATGTACCGCAGGTTAGTGATGATTAAACAGGGACAAGTTTTAAGATTTTTCGGGGTACAAAAGATATTCTATTTTCTACACTATTGCGATAATTTGTTATTACTGTTATTATTATTATTATTATTATTATTATTATTATTATCATTATTATTATTATTGTTATTATTATGATTATCATTATTACTGAGTAAGTTGTTAATCAGGTAACTTAAAAAATGACTTTGTCTTCGGCGTGCGCACAATTGTTCCCAAATGTTATTTTTCAGCGTCCTTATATGGCCCTCGGAACGTTGCGGGATCAGGTGATTTATCCCGACACTGTGGAAGATTTGCACCGGAAAGGACTTACGGACGGAGACCTTGAGGATTATCTAAAACAGGTTCATGATTTATTAACTCATCAAGTTCAATAATAACCGCACATGTCACGGATCGAATGTTTAAGTTAGAAAATCAGATATCTCTCATATTGTAAGTTAACCTTCACTATTCCCACATTTATTCGTGAACTTGTGTTTCAGGTTCATCTTGGTAATATTCTTGAGCGGGAAGGAAGCTGGGACTCGATCCAGGTAAACTAATGAAGTGTCAATGACGTTTGAAGTGTATCTTGTAAATCATGTTCAATGTTCATGCGGTAAATGACGAAGAAAAGAGTCTTTTTTTTTTTATATAGAATTTTTTTATTTCTCTAGGATTGGATGGATGTTCTGAGTGGTGGTGAGAAGCAAAGGATGGCAGTAAGTATGCATTGAAACCTTGACTGCAACCATGTCACACAACATTTATCAGCTTGTGGCGACAGTGTTGCGTGACTTGCTCTTGGTCACTTTCCTGGTTACCTTTGTGGTACTGAACGACAACATGAGCTAATGTTTTGTTTTGTTTTAATTTGAAGAGTGGTGTCTATGATATTAACGTCCTCTTTTCTATACCGTTATTAGATGGCTCGTCTTTTCTACCACAAACCTCAGTTTGCTATTCTGGATGAATGCACTAGTGCAGTTAGTGTGGATGTGGAGGGTTTCATGTATACACGCTGTAGAGAGGTATACCTTCAATCTAGTTAAAATTCTGGTCAGCAGACACCTTCCGCCAATGGGAAGTTTTAAAATACAGGCTTTTTTTTGTCTAAGTCTCTAAAAAATTGCACGTTCCCTCACCTCGGCCTTGCTTGAAGTGTCTTTTACCGAACCGTGCAACTGAACAACGCGTTGCCTCTTGCTGGGTTGAATGAGGAATTAAATTGCATCTTTTTTTCTCCTGCTTAAACTCGGTAGTGTTTAGTTGCCCTTTCCGATTCCTTTACACTGAATGATATTCTTGTCTTCTCCAGAACAATTTTGCATATAGAATGTTGTTGATGGTATTCGTGCCATGAAGTGTTAAGGAATACTTCCTTTGATCATCAAGCCATGAATACATTGTTTTCTGCATCTAGGTTGGCATCACATTATTTACTGTCTCACATCGTAAGTCGTTGTGGAAATACCACGAGGTTTGTAATTATTTTGTTTTATATACTCCTTTGTTTATGAATTTTTTATCAGCAATGCTACAATAGATTGCCTTCCGTCAGTAGTACCTTGTTCAAGGGCGGTTTCTTTTTGATACGTATACATCAATCTCACAACGCCCATTCCCCCACCTCCCCTTCCCCTCAACAAGATAAAAAGTGTTGGAAGCAGCGGAGTTCCGGATTTGTTCAAGTTACTTTCTCCATTGCTGAAACTGGTAAAACCTAAATGAGCTTTAAAAGGAAAAATCTGACCAATCGGTTTAAAGAAGTCAGACATTAATATTTGACAGACGTGAGTTACTCTCAATCACTGTCTCCCCCTTCAGTCCGTAGCAGGACTCGATTCAGCCTTCTCTGTTGCCATCAAGACAAGATAAGGGGGACAATGCTTGGAGAATAGACACTTCTCTTTCTAACCTGGTATGTTTTCTCTCTGTCTTTATCTTCAGTATGTTTTGTACATGGACGGCAGAGGCTCGTATGAGTACAAACCGATTGATTCTGCTACTACAGAGTTTGGTTCCTAAACATCCTTCTCTGACCTCGATACACGCCACCCGTCGATCAACAACTACAACTGCACACTCAGAACACCGATCGATCCTTCAACTTCTATCCCACTTAGCACTCGCCAATCAATTAAACTGCCCTACCCAACAAGTCTCAACTGCCTCTTCTTTTCAGGCTTTGTCTTATTCTGTATTGTATGGTGGTTTTATTGGCTTAGAACTTTTAATTCGTTGCAAACTTGGGTTATTATTTCTAGGAGATCATGACGTAACAATAACGCAAATATTCTGACTCTGGTGAAACTACCCTAACCAAGAAAAATACACGTCACATGTCGTATTTGTCTGCGAGTAGGCATGTGACCATATCGGTCAGCCTGAACAGGCAGGGAAACATTCTGCCTCGCCTATCTGATAACTAAACAAGAGGTGTCAAATGAATCGAGTTTTTTAAAACAATAACCATGATTAAATTTTTTAACTTCGTAACACATCATAATGTTTAGTGGCGCTACGCAAAAGTGTGTTTTAAAAAGACTGCTTGAAAGTGTTACTTTTACTTGGTGGTCGGCTGATGATAGGTAAACTTCATCTTTTAATGATCGGGGAACAGATGCAAATGTTGCAAGTCGGTGGTATCTCTCTGTTTCTGTTTGGCACAGAATTGCACCTGCCACAAGCTGTGCGTTTTTGTTGCTAAATCTCGACTAAGAGTTTTTTCAGGAATTCCTGTCAGGAGCAGGGCCCGGGAGAATTCCTTTTATTCCATCTATATGTAACAGTCGTTATCCCTCGGGAAGGGAGTAGCTTATCAAAACTACGAAGGGGTGGGGAGGGTGGTGACTTTGATTTTTTTTTTTTGATTTTTTTTTATATTAGTTGAGGCACGGTAGTTGCCGATGTAAATCTGAGGAATTTTCAAAACAGTTTAGAGAGATTCAGGGCTGTGCCGCCTTTTCGGTGGTGTAATATATTTTAAAATGTTGATCTGTCATCTTGTTTACAAACTAAACCAAACAAATTTGTTGTCAATGTTAATATTCTCAGCACTTTGTGTTATCTGGTGATTTTATGACTACTGCCTCGTCACACAATTTAGGTTAGAAATTAAACATGGCGAACCCTGATATTGAGATGTAAGGGCTATTGTGTGTGCTTTATCTGTTAACAGTTTCTGTGGTTCTGAAGGCGACGCGAAAGCGTTACACAGCTTCATTTATCTTGATCAGATAAATAGAATGCCTCATTCGATAGTTGAATATAACGATATAAGATATTTCAAACGGTTACTTGAATCCTATTTAATTAATTTGCCAAATATCGAATGAATTTTATAGCGAGGTGACTTGTTAAATTACGCTCTACATAAAAGGTAAATTCAACTCTAATTTAAAGAGGGAGCCTCACGTGTAAGTCTTCATGGCTTCTTGAGACTTCCTCGCCTTTCCCCTTTGCTATTTTCTATTTTTTATGTATTATCTATGCAAATTAACTTTGTTCCCCTTTTAATATATAATAAAGCCAAATGATAAATACATGAAATAAAATAAAATCCCGTCACAGCTCAGTCAAAGAATCCTACGACCCATTTGGAAATTGTATGGCTGATAATAATCTGGTGAAGGTGTGGTGTCGCTCCACTTTCTCTGATGCCAAGTAAATGATATGCGTATGATACTACGATACCCGATGGACTTAACTTCTTTCTTCGTTTATTCTTGTAGCACATGCAGATAACAAGAGTGCAAATACATGTAAACCTCGTTTTGTTTTGCTAAGGGAATCCGCTTCAACGCCAGTTGTGTTTTGAGCCAAACATCTGCAAAGGGAACTGAAATAAAGCATTCTGTTTACTGATTCCTTATCGATAAAACGATTTCATTTTCGAGATCTTCGCGAACTTAGTAGTGCTCCTGCCTCAAAATGCATTCTTAAGAGACACTTCTCATAATCGTTTTTAAAAACGTAGCGCATGGAACAATAAAGAACTGCCCTTGGATAATAATCGGGCCAGTAATTAACTTGTCGTGAAAATGCGTAAGCTTTCCAGAACATATTATTCTCGTTATTTATTAAAGCCTCGGTTAGTTTATAGATTCGATCGGCATCTATAGACTTATTTGCAAACAAGGGGTATTTCTTGCTGAATGTGTAATCCAACCGCCACACAGGAGTGGAGGACACTGAAAAAAAAAAGGTAAAGATACATTTAATCTTTTTAGACACAAACTGGGAAACGTTTGAAAGTGAAGAATAATGTAAAATTTCGTTTCAAATGGTGACACTAATTCTGAAGGCATTATATATATACGGATTTTCAATTTTTCGTTTGTTTAGTGGTCGCCGATGCCTATAATGTTACAACTCTCCACAACTCGGCATGATCGTTAATGCGTCCTTGTTTTGATTAGTTACAGAGCCACGCCCTTACCTTTGGTCGAGTCGAGGTCAATGTAGTATTGATTGTAGTCATAAAGAGACATTGATTGTTCATCTAATATCATCACACGGAAGGCTGGATTACTCTTGTAATCTGGACTAAGAGAGGGAGCGATCAATGCAAAAGACTTCCTTGCGTCATTAGAGACAGAGTCAGAGTTTGATTCCAGAGTCTGAAGTCTGAAGTCGTCTTTGTGCACGTGACCAAATAGCTGACCTACAAATAAAAAATTTGAAAATCACAGAATCATTAGTTACAATATAACCCTTTATTCCAGTTAACTTCTGTGAAATTACGCTAAGCAGATCTTTTTCAGTTTTCGTCGCAAAAACGTAATTTGACTGCCATGACAAAAGGGGTGTCTTGATGTCCAGTATTGAAACACACATGCATACAACGAAAGTTTAGTGGAAGCTTAGTATTGAACAAAAATTCACTCCCCTCTTGTATGCTAATTGAAAGTAGGAGAGAATACTTTTTTTGTTAGATTACTATCAAATTGTAAAATCTTCTCACCAGCTATCACTTTGTGATACCTTCCACCAACCAGATCCATGTATCGTTTAGTAAAACTGGGCAACCAAAATGGCTCATGGTCGTCAACATCCACTCTAGAATTCAAAAAGCGATAGCATTGACAATATATACTGAATGATAAAACCCTTATAAAAATCCCGAGCATGAATGTTATCGAAGATTACTAGCAGAATGAATCCAGACATTATTGCGCTCGACAATCGTTCATTTGATCAAGTGTGGTATGCTGAGGAAGGGAGTGGCGTTATAAAAGGGGTCTAATCATGGTTAAAGAAACGGCCAGCGGTTTTATGGAGAAGACAAAGCTAAATGTGCAAGTGGGGCCCTTTACTCAACCGCTTTATCGACAGACGCCGTTGTTCATCCAGGCAATGAGGATTTAGTGATTAAAACAATTCTTGGATATCAGTGCTTGCTTATCAGTATCACGTTCATAACGCTTGATAACGGAAAACGTTCTTCATTAAAATTCTAAACAGAAATCACTTACCCTGGTGGAATGTGACTTGCTATCAGTACTCTCTTCCCTTGTCCTTCAGCAGACTCGAGTTGACTTTCTAACCACGACAACTGACTTAACGCAGTTTTACGAACTTGAAGATTGTCTTGGTTGCTTTTGTAGTGCCAGTATATGGTATTCAATACAATTAAAATCATTCTCCCATCTAAAGATCACAGTTATTTGATCAGTTTGGTCACTGGTCGACGGAAAGGCATTAATTTATAGTCTTGCTGAAAAAATATGGCGCTTAGGCCTGCGCGGTGTTGGAAGACGTTCAGTTCGACCCAAAGAAAAATTATCTCTCTTCATAGGCTCAATGGATCGACAAAGAATTTTTTCTCCCTGCCAAATTAAACGCTACAAATATCTCATAACATTAGGGCAATAAGTTTCCTCGAATTTTAATGCTCAAAAATACCTGCAATGCTTGCATTGTAGTAACCGCCCTCAAGGAAGGTTTCTCTTAACGTGTTACTAAATGTAGATTTGCTTGCATCGCCTGCGCTGCCATCATAAATCATTAACGGTTCCCATGGAGACAAAACAGAGTTGTACCAATCACTGGTGTTCGGTAAAGTGAGTGGTACCAGATAATCATGTAAACCAATGACAGGAAACACAGGAATATCAGGAAAAACTGCATGTGTCTCATTCGCTGTCCTGATCATGGCTTCGAGAATGTGCTGTTCATCAACATCAACTTCATGTGCAGAGAAGTCTCCTACAAAGATAAAAAAGGAAGGGGAAAAAAGTAATGGACATTTTGGTGATTATTTGAAATTACATCTGTCACTGATCGACTGCAATAAAGCATAATTAGCTTGCGCAGCTGCATTCATCTCAGCGGTGTTCAGAATTTCAATAATCTTTATTTTATCACTATGGCTATGGGCCAAACAAAGGCAACGGCTCGATTCTAACTTGAGGAGTTTTGATACCGACTTCCATTGAGTGTACTGAATGACTATACTCAGGGTAACGCAAATTAAAAAAACAATCAATGATAGTTAATTTCATGACTATTTGAGCGACTCGGTGATTTCAAGGGAAACAACCTGCAAAGAGATAAAATGTGTTTTAATCCGCAACACCTCAAAAGTGCCAGGCAATTATTCAGAACCATTCAAAAGCCGTCAGGAACAAAATGTTCAAAACAAACGCGCAGTCTCTATTTTTTTACGCAAGTCTTCTAATTCAAAACAGAAAGACGTAGTTTGTTGTTTTTGTGTATTTCTTTATTTTCGTGTTTGATGGTTTGTTATATAATATGTTTAACGACTACTTGGTACGATACCTTTTCACTAAGCCTGATAAAGGTTCTGGAGTTGTAATGATGGACAAACCCGAATATATCCGCCTAGTAAGCGCTGCTTCCGTTGACAACACCCCTAAACTTTCACACGTTGATCACAAACGACCGGCAAAAATGCGTGGACGACCACCTAAGCATTTTCGCCCTCTCTTTCAGAAAGAGAAAGAGTTGCAAGAAAATTTACGTCAAATTTTGCCTGAAGAAATTGCCAATTCACTTTCTCCAAAGAGTTCCAGGCTCACTCATCTTTATGGCTTACCTAAGACTCACAAAGCTACGCTGGGATGAGCAACCGTAACCTACAATTACAATCTGGCTTAATCGCTTGAAGAAAAGCTGAAACCACTTTCCATAAATTAGTATACAATCACTGACACCTTTGCCTTTGCTGATGAGATTCGTACTCATTCTATGAATAAAGACATATTGGTCTCTTATGACGTCACAGCTCTCTTCACTTATGTGCCTTTAGATGAGACTATCAACATCGTGGTCAACAAAGCCTTCACAGATGATTGGTTCAACAAACCCAATGGCCTTAATCTGCAAAAGGATCAGCTTGCTGAACTACTCAAAATTGCCACAACCAATCAGCTTTTTCAGTTTAATGGTCAACTTAACCCTAACCCTAAATTGCGCTCTATTTTCAGTCGTCTTGACAACCCTATGGGCCGTACTGATTCCGCTATTAATAATTTAATTTTTAGAAATGCTTCGGCAAGCACAGCGGAAAGAAACGCCGATGATAGAGGCACAGTAAGAATTAGTCTTCCATTCAAAGATCAAGTGGCCCCTGATGCGGTTCGGAAGCAGTTGGGCGATCGTAGCCGTAAGATTCTCCCAAGATTGCAGCCTGTTTTTGTGAGCAAGAAATTGGGGCAAGATCTTAAACCTAAAGAAATGAAGCCGTCAATTGTGAATCGGCAATGCGTTGTTTACCGTTTCTCATATGATCTGTGCGATGCAGATTATGTCGGGTACACAGCCCGACACCTTCATCAACGCATTGCTGCGCACAAATATTCGACAATCGGTTGACATTTCGTGGAAGCTCACGGTAGCAACCACCTCTTGAAAGAAAACCAATTTAGAGTTTTAAGAAAGTACCAAGGAAAATTTGATTGTTTAGTCTTTGAAATGCTGTTCACCAAGAATCTCAAGCCAAATTTAAATATCCAGGCGGACCCCATACGTGCGGCATTACTATTGTTCTTTTCTAACGGTTTAGCTTTTTATCACCCATTGTTATTTTGGTGTATTTATAGAGAGTGCAACTTGTAAATATAGTTTTTGACTTTCAATTGATAAGGACGTTTAGCCAACTTCGAAACGTCGTCGTTTTTTATAAATCCCAAAATGTTTTTTAAGAAATATTTTTTTTTATCAATTTTTTATAATTAAATGTTTTTCTATATCACTTCTTCTTCGATACGTTTTTGCATAATTTTGATGACAAATATGAAATAAAAAAGTATCATGGGACTTACCTGAGATCAGTATGAAATTCAGCTTTGTGCCTTCTGTAGCGTTCTTTATCGCTTCTAAGCTGCTTTCCAGCAACAATAGTGGAGTGTCACACCCAATTCTACCCAAAGGAGCTTTAAACTCAGCTGTTTTGATGGATCCGTTTGCTGCGCGACACATGTCACGCTTTGGAATGGAGCTGTTGTACTTCAGATCTAAGTTGACATCTGTGAGATGTATAAAATGGACCAAGCTCTGTTGAGTTGTAAGTTTCTCCTCAGATCCTGAAGTTCCTTGTTTGTAATTCGAGTCACAGTCAGGACAATGAAGACAAAGTACAAACGTGAGAATCAACATCAACGACAGAACAACGCAAAGACTTCCCAGAAATATTAGCAAGACCAATACAGTGAGTCTTTTCCTTTTCCGATTGTTCTCGGAATCGTTTGGAGACGATATTTCTAACTGTTCAGTCATTTCGATTGTCTAAGAGACACCCGAGGTAGTGTTGCTTCGTCACTGAAACAATGTGGGAGTGACAGTTGAAGAGATAACAATAACAAGTCATTGGTAATGTAATTTATTTCCAAATAAACTGAGGGTGTTAAATATTGATATTTTTTCATTTGTATGACATCACTTGTAATGTATCCTATTGGCTCTGGTTGTTTTGTGTTACAAAAAGATCGATTCAATAATGGGCGAGAACGGTGTTGTTTAGACTGGCAGACAAGAACTTGTCTGTCAGCGGGTTAAATCCAAAATAAAGTTTTTTTTTAAGAAGTCAAGCTAGAATCATCTATTCATTTCTTGAAACGAGCAGGTGCAAAGGAAGTCCCGGATTTATCAGATGATCAGATAGGGTTCCCAAAAGCAGATACCATAGTTACAGACAGGACATGTCTCAACACGGAAGCGTTCCTTTGATGAGTACGCCACAGAAAAATCCTTTAGTTGTCATGTGCTTAGGACAAAGACAAAAAGACTGTCCTAAGGTCACAAGGATTAACTAGCAGCACTCCAACTTTGGATGACACCCTTTTAAACTGCTTTAACAGTTTTCACCATAGCTCTACCCATACCCTCTGTTTTTGCCTACTGTCTACACATACTACGTGATCTAAAGCGATCACAGAAACTGCATCTTCTCCAAATCGCTCTCCAAACCGCAGAATTCTGAAAACGATGTTTCTCTTTGTCACGTTGGGAGAATAGATGCGTGGTATTTGAGGACGAGAACGTCACAGGGGTAGGACGCCGTACATGATAATCTCCCGCATGCCAATAACTCGAAAATTGCGCATGCGTGAAACTTTCACAAAATGGTTCAAATGCAGAGTAAAGGGGCAAACGGAAAATATTATTCTTACGCAAGATGGAGGAAATGTTTACAATGACGCTTGGACGTAAATGTCATCACTAAGCTAACATTAAGAAAGGCGTATCTTGACAACTGATGTCACTTTTAGTTCTTTTTTAGCGAAAGTGGAAGCTGTAATTTGACCTGTCAGCAATATTATTAATTCATACTGCAGGATGATTGTTCTGTGTTAATACTAATTTTCTTTTTTTCACAGAGATGTGATTATTTGAGATCGAATTCATGAAACTTTAATTATTCGAAGTGTTTTCAATTTTGATCATTACAAAGGGGCGAACACCTTTGGAAAGGAGTTGGATTGTAAATTAATTAGCAAATATAGTCCTGATGGCTGATGTTCTTGACGGCTGTTTCCAGCGCATCTTACTTCACCATACAGCCATAAGATTTCGTGCGTCGTGTCCGTATTTGACGTTAAATTATTCTAGCAATTCTTCATTTATCTTATTTATTATTTACGCAGCAGCAGGTGGGATGAGGTAATAAATGAGATAAGGTTTGTTGGTTGTTGGCTCTTATCAGTTTAATTTTTTTGTGTCGTATGGAAATTTGAAGATGAAAAGTATTCCCGTGTAAGCGAATGCTCCTCAAATATCAAAACTTGGTTCGATTTTGTGCAAAATTATTAAAAAAAAATACCATGGACATCATTGTCCTTCTTCTGGACATGGTATTAATGACATTCTGCAGATTGGAGTCAAAAACTGCAAAGTGCGACGGAAAATTTGAACTGAGCGGACTTAACCATGGCCACTTGGAGCAAGGAATTAAAAACCATGCCATAGTGGGACACAGTTTTAAAAATTTCACGTTGCCAAAAATTTATGATTGTCATATCCAGTGTTTTGACGAGAAATGTAAGTGCCAAGCATTTCAAATATCTGGGGATCGCTGTGAGCTGTTGGATGAAGATAGATATTCAACTCCTGATGAGTTCATATATACTCCTGGATATGCTTACTTTGATATGAGCAGGGAATATATTCACCAGGTAAGGGTGAGATGTCTACTGGATGTAAATATTTCGCTCATTCGAAATGCTGGTTTGTCTCACTTCTACTTTTTCTGACGGCCTTCGAAAACGACGTGGGTGTTAAGTGCCGCTCTCGCTAAGAGCCGTCCTCTCGACTTCGCGTCGGAAAAAAGTTTTCTTTTATTTTTTGCCCATGAAAAGGGCTTAGGACACATGTTTCTAAAATAGTTTAGTTGTTCTCCAATTCTCTCTTTTACGTCGCCACAAGCCAAAAATGATTTTTGGCTAGACCATCCCAGTGAACAGCAATCGAAAATGTAAATTTCAAAGATTTTGTCCAGCGCGCAGCGACTGCAACAATGCGGCTCACGGAATTCTATCTTGCTACAAGTTACAAGATGTATTCAATGTCTAATCATGTGTCAAGTTTTCAAGCTCGTTCTATAACGATTGAAGTTTACGATTAAAGCTCCAACATGCAAATTGAAGAGGATCTTGTTGTTTAACAAAGGACAGTTTTGCGCAGTTTTGAGGGATCTAGTTGGTAAGGTAACGTCAAACCCTTAATAATTAAATTGCTAGGGTTTATGCATCGTAGTGAGTAGCAGTGTGTTAACTTCAACACCAGTTTCTGCTCATTTTACAGCCAAATAATCTATGATATGTGTATTGTAGGTAACTTCAGATAGCGCATATCCAGACTCACACTGCAGTAATCAATGCTGTAGTCATAGTGTGTGTCTTAATGGCGCCACGTGCACCGAACTCTGTCAGGACGCCAAACACAAGTTTAAATGTTCATGTGCACCAGGATATGTCGGGAAATTTTGCCAGAAGCGAAGAACGTCCTGCAAAGAGCAGCTTTTGATGGACAAGAAGTCATCATCGCAAGCTTACTGGCTGTTTGATCCGACAAGCAACTCTTGGTATGAAACCTTTTGCGATTTTACCACCGAAAATGGTTTTGTTTGGACTCTTATTGAATCGTTCAGCCTGGTTAATAACCAAAATTTTGCGGATAAATCATTCTATAAAGATTATCCTGTCATTGAGAACGATTTTAACTGGAATAAGTTCCGCTTGTCTTTGAACCGGATGGAGTCAATTGCTAACCAGTCCTCTCACGTGCGTGCAACATGCAACTTTAACACTGATGGTCTGAACTTCACTGATTACTTGAGAGCCAAACTGACTGATATCGATGTAATGCGGAAGAAATTCGACGATTGCAGGAATTACGAATACATTAGCGTCCGTGGTTACGGTTGCCATGACTGCACTGCTGTGTTTGTTCAGCAGGATATGTGGCATGCACACGTGGACTCATATTATGGAGCAGGGTGTCAGTTGAAGGCATCAGGAGCAATAAAGGACCCAGGGGGGGAGGATGACTTTGGTTGGTACGAAACAGTAAACCCCATTCATAGGTGCTCTTCAAATAACAACTCCACCACACAATGGTGGTTTGGAGAACACGAAGATTATTGCAATGAGCAGTAAGGGACCTAGGGCTTTAAATACTAATTGAGAAAACTTGTTACTTGTTAAAATCGTGATCATAAAATGTCATAACATAGCTGCCATCTGTAATGTTTATGATTATGACAAGTGTTCTACAGTTGTGCCACAAGTTGCTACCATCTCAATCCTAAAGTTAATTGTAGCCTATAAATTTAACCCTTGGTAACAACTAACTTTTGAAAATTGTTTCTTTTTAAAGTAATTTTGTTTTTAATGTTTCATTAGAGTCCAGTCGAACAACTCCATGTGCCCTATTTTGTAGCAGTAACTATCATTTCGTGCACAAGATAATCAGTTTTGTAATTATCTCAAAGCTAAGCAATTATCCATCAGTTTATAGCCCCGAAATGTTTTCAAAGGAGTTTAGAAAAGCATCCGATATGTAAGATACAAAAAAAAAAAAAAAAGCAAAAAGCAAGTAATATAATTGTGCAATTTTTGTAGAATTAAACGATGTTAGTATTTACCACACAAGAGAATAGTGCTTTTCGTGAACGCTGATTGGTTAGTTCGGAAGTGAATAGCGAGTACAATTCACTTCCACTTTGGTGAATATTTGTAAACTACTGTGTGTTATGTGCCCTGACAAAAAATAAAAAATTTAAAAAAACTTGACTTGCTTTTTAAAATTAACATCAGGATGATTTTATTCCTTTTCTGTTTCCATGGGGCCCAGTAATAAACCGAAAAATTGTTTCGTTTCCACTCTGATAAAATGTTTTGAATTCTTCATTACGCCGAAATAACTGGGGAACCAAAAACATCACCAAGACTTTTCCATGTTAAACATCTGATAAAAGATTCAAACTGATATTTAAACAAGTTTAAGTTCCTTTGAAAGAAAATTGAATCACGCACGAATAATATCTTTTTGTATTGAAATTGTCCAATTTAAACGCAGCTGTTGCGTTTGAAATTTACCCTGAATTAAGTCGTACAGGAACCAATTACATGTGAGTAAGTATGATGGCGCAGGTTAACTTAGCGCGCTCACCATTATTTAGAGACCAGAGGAACTTCGCCATTCAATTTAGCCTGGAGATTTGTACAGCGAACTTTATCAGTAATTCAAGAAACTTAGAGGTAGGAATCTTCCTTTCATCAGTTACATGGTCATCATTTGTTCAGTTAACTTATAAAAAAGGATTTTGTGCAGGTGTTAATACTTATTTGCTTTCTCACCAATCAGTCCTTATTGTCACTACATACTTTATACCTTTGCATAATTGTGTGCTCTTGTCTTGTCGGAACCGGGAACAGCTGCCCTTTTAGTTCTCTGATATTTCCTCATAGATCTCTACCGACCACTTGCAATATTTGGTATTAATAAAAACTGGATCAAAATTATTCGATTTTTAGCCTTTTGATTGGCTGAACGGAGCCGTGCTAGGAACTTGCAACCTAGCTCTGAGCTCATAACCTATATCCAACAAATATGCCTAGCCAATGAATTCGTCAGCAAAGTAAGAAAAAAAACCTATGCGAGCAATCCGTGAAGCAATGGCATAAAGACAATTTGCAAAATGTTTTGTATTTACGTTGCGATAACATTTGCCACACGCGAAAGTTGATTGTTTAACTGACACAAAAGCTTGTTGGTAGAATTATAATAATTTTTTGTGTGCGTTTTGTATCAACAGGCTTACAGGCGAATGTGAAAGCGATCCTCGAAGTTATGAATACTACTTAACTAGTAGTGAAAATTAGGCCTGAAAAAATTCAGGCCCCTTCGGGATTTGAACCAAAGAACTTTGCGATACCAGTGCAGTGCTCTACCAACTGAGCTAACGAGCCAACTCGAATATGAGATCATTGATAAAAACAAAACAAAACAAAACAAAAAAAACTCGGCCCTACGCACCTCGTTGGTTATTTTATATCATTTCATATTACTATTAATATGCAAATTTAAACGATTTGACCTCGTGGTTATGACCGAGCCTCTGCAGTTGAGAGGCGTGGACGATATCATAAACCCGTCTTACTGCGTGGAAGTCAACCTGGACTCATCAGTCCAGGGGGAGGGTTCGCTGTCTGTGACCTCAAATCAAACTCGCGCTGTGCGTTCGTTCGATTTTGAAATCGCTCGTATGCTTTCAGACCAAATTTAACTCCACTCAGTTCAGTTACCATTATCTATCAGGAACAACATCAAATTCACCATTCTAGATGAAAGACCCTTAGTATTTGGAATTCTCGTGGATCAAATTACGACCTATGCAACTCCACAGGGGCTACAACTGTTTTGTACTAAAAACTGTTTACCATCCACCAAGTGCACGGAATACTGTCTGAGAAAGAGTCGTAGATATCACGTCTCTATTTGCAAAATTAACAGATTCAAGAACAGCTTTTTTTCACAGAAATTGTATGTAGATGCACTTACTTAGTAATTTTTGTGGATAATTTTTTAATCCTTGTAAAGTTTTATCTAATTCAGCCCTAGAGCTGTAATTTTGAAACTTCAATGAATCATTTTCCTATTTATGTATTTATCCAATTTTCTATCTATCTAATGATCTATTTACTTAATAATCTATCTCTCCATCCATCCATACATCTATCTATCTCTATATTTCTAGCTCTCTATCTAACAATCTGTCTGTCTGTCTGTCCATCTATCTATCTATCTATAGATCTAATAATCTATTTAGTTGTCTATCTGTTTATCTATCCATCCACATGTTCTATCTGTCCATCTATGGATTTATCTATCTATCTATCTATCTATCTATTTATCTATCTATCTATCTATCTATCTATCTATTTATCTATCTATCTATCTATCTATCCAATAATCTATATGTCTATCTGACAATCTATTTATCTATCCATCTATCTAATAGTCTATCTAACTATTACTCTAAACATCTATTTTTTCAGATTATAGGAGTTAATAATGACTGCTGGTCCCTCAGCAGTAGTCCTGCTGATTTTTGCCTTGACTGCGTTGCCAGTAGGGTCTCTGAAGTTCTTTCACGTGTCTGATGTCCATCTTGATCCATTCTACAATAAGGCTGCGGATGTGAGCATTTATTGCCAGGGATCTGGCTCAACAGCAGATTATGAGGCACCTTATGGTAGGATCGGTTGTGACTCACCGTTAGCTCTGTGGAAAATTGCTCTATTAGGAATGAAGGAGGAAGGACAAAGTGCTGAGTTTATGATGCTCTCTGGTATGAAGCTAACATGTTTTTGTAAATTGTCAATCTGTTGACCATCTCCCTCAAGAAGCACTCTTCTATTCAATGGCTCTTCTATTCTTGCCCACTTTTCAGCTTCTTTATGTTAATTATATTTAGATTGCATGAAGATTGCTTATTTTCTTTCCGTAGGAGATTCGTCTGCCCATGGTCTAACAGATGATCATGGTTCACCAAAAGTCTTAAAAGCCATGTCCATAGTGGCAAGTGAAGCCCACAAAGTGTTTCCAGACATTCCAATTTTTCCTGCAATTGGCAACAATGACCTCCCTGGACATTATATTCTACCAAACAATAGCGATTGATACAAAACAGTCTTGTCTTACTGGGCCCCACTCATTTTGTGCTCACATTGTCCCAGGAGCGTGGAAAAGCCTACAACAATGGAGGAATTGGCAAAGACATTTCTAGAGGGCGGTTACTATAAAGTCAACATTGCAGGTGAGATCCTTGCTGGCATTTCTGTAAACAAAGCATAGTAAAAGAAAGATGGGTATCTAGAAAAGACTTGAGCAGCCTGGAAAAACATCATTGGAAGAAAATTAAAAGAAACAAAACGGAATCCAAACTAGATATGGTTCCAAATCCCACGTGAAAAGAAAAATCTTAGATAAACTGACAAGAACAATTGGGTTCAAACGCTTACATTTCATGATGTCACTTGACATATGTACCATTGAATTACAGGTGGAAAAATGATTTTACTTGTGCTGAATACCATGTACTGGAATAACAACTGGTACACGAATGATCTTGTTAAACAAATTGCTGAAACTCAAATGCAGTGGTTCAAAGACCAACTTCAACTCGCCAAAGACCAAAAGAAAAGAGTCCTTATCATGAGCCACATTCCACCTGGGTAATTTTGTTACCACAACTTTCTTTATCAGAGCCACCTTTTAGATCAAATTAACAAACTGAAAACGTTTCTTTTAATTGTCTCAGAGGCGACCCATATGATGGTTCCTACTTCTGGCATAAAAAATATTTAATACCTTATGCGAGTCTGACAGCCGGACAATTCCATGATGTAGTGGCAGGTAACACTCGTATTCAGCAAAGTTATGGGCATTGAATGAGGGAAATTATAATAATATGGTAGATAATTGATTGAAAGAAACTAAATAGAACGCCCCGAAACTAGATAGGTTCAGATTTTTTGGGATTTGTCTATTTCCCCACGCATTTGTTGAAGCTTTTTATTTTTAGAAGTTTTTGCTTTTTTGTATGTTTCCGCTTTACGTCAGAGAGCAACTTTTGAAAAATAATCTTGGATATGATTTGATGCATGATATCTGTATGATAAGGAGTTTGATAACAATAAGTCAATGTAGTAACAAGTGACGATGTTTGACGATTTGGTACAAATGATAGATAACTATTTATCACATTCCATTTCGCAATGGTTTACGGAAATTCCCCTTAAAAAGAAGTTCCATTTGCCATGATTTTTGGTTCCATTTTTTTATGTTTTGCATTTGTTTTAATTTTTTTGGTACTTTTATTCACATTGAGTTGCTCTCCTTTCATCACTACTTTTTTTATCCTTATCATAAGGCCAGTTCTATGGTCATACTCATAGAAACGACTTCCATCTTCAAATAATGAACACTGCAAGTGATGAAGCAGAAAAAACTTCCACCAAATCCTTTGTTCTACAAGTTGCCTCAGTATCACCTGTCTACTCTAACAATCCAACATTCAGAGTGATGTCTTTGGACACAAGAGAACGTGCTCTTGTTGACTATGACCAATATTATCTTGACTTGGTTCTTGTGACAGGTATTTAACGTGTCAGAGGGAGAGCTTTCAACGAGAATTGTCTGTATACACAAGGAAATGACAAAGACAGAGCAGTTAGAATTTAATTTCATGGGCAAATTTCTGAGGAGCTGATATTGATGCTTCAAATCTCTAACTTAGTTCAATATTTTACCAGTTTGTACCACCAAGTCATATTTTGAGCATAATTTGAAGACAGCTTCAATCTCAGACTTTATTTGATCAAACTCCTATCAGTGGCATGAATCCTCCACAAAGTTTTCTCACAATTCATCAAAAGCTTAATAAATATTAAGTGGATTCTACTATGTTAATATTGTAATACACGCCCTCTATTTGTGCTGCTGTAAGGAATTCCATTTGTAATAGTTATTTTTTGTTCTCTCTCGTAGAATTTGCACATCCCGTTTGGAAGTTTGATTCCACATTTAGCAGAAAGTATCCATCAAAACACAAGTTAATCGATGCAGACAGAATCGATGAGCTGAACCGTAAGCTAATCAGCCAAACTGAAGGCAGATATTGGAATGAATACATGCCTTCAACAACCTCCCACTACCAGCTGGGTTCATACGATCGGTTTGCCCTCTATTGTGTCATGAGATATGTCTCTGAAGATGATTTTGAGAAATGCCATGAAAAATTCAAAGTACCTGGTGGCTAGTTAAATAATTATAACAAAATATGTTATGAGGTATTCAATATAACATCATATCCTGGAGAATATGAATAAAATGCATGTCTAAAATACCTTTGTATTTGCCATCCTTCACACACCCTGCTACAAATCCCTTCACAAGTTTCAGACGGGCCTTCCACACATAAGAATATCATCTTGGAAATTAATATTTCTACATTTTTGATTGGCATAGTAACAGTTTTATAAGTTACATTTTGATGATAAAATTTACCACAAATTTCCTATAAGGCAAGCCAATTAAATTTTTTGTATTAAATTTAGTCATGCTTCGTTTGATATATAGATATTTATAATTTTGGCAGCAATTCTTTTATTATGAAGTACATATAATGCCCTCTTTTGTGCTCAATAGCCTTGTCCTTCTTATCTAATTACATCAAATTTCCTCAGCCTTGGCTGTCATGTTTGCTTGTGCCTTTGCCTTTGTGAAACATCCCCAAGACACGATCTATCATCAATACTGCAATCAGGGAACCCAACAACAAGCCAGTAAGGACATCACTCCAGTGATGCTTGTAGTCACTAATGCGGGACAGCCCACACAGAACACCCAACTGAGCAATAAACAGTTGGAGGGAAAACTTCAGAAACCTGCTATGGGGGAAATTGATCATGATTTCCATATACAGAATTGTAAATGTCACGGCATATGCTGCAAATATGAGAAAAAAAGCCAAGTTTAGAATGATAGCACAATCCTTTCTGTCAGGGACTCTTCATACAAGTCCAGCTGGGTGCAACAAAGCAGATTGACATGGTTGGTTTTCAGATAGAAACTTCCAATGCAAACAAAAGAAAAAAAATTGATATAAAACTATGCCTTTGATTTTGGATTAGAATGTAGCTTATGGTGTTAGGTATTATTGGTTGCTGTGCAGTGTTGTTGAAGAGAACTTTTTCATATACTACTGCTTATTCTTACAGTTCATCACATTTGACCTTCAGCTGATTAAATTTGACCACTAAAGGCAAATGGAATTATTACCTGAGAATGAAGCGTGGCCTGATGGAAATGACAAGCGTCCTTCTCTAAGCAAACCTGGGTCACCTGTGCACACATCGTCCGTGATGTATGTGTGACTGCAGTTCAAAAATACAGAAGATGGAGCTTGGCAGATTGACAGAAAATGAGGTCTTAATCGTCCGACTGTGTATTTTCCGATATCAGTGACAAAAATAGTGACAAGCCCTCCAAAGGCAAAAGAAACCAAGAGGTTGATTAGATTAATATGGTTCGGCTTGAGCTTCAGCCATTTAAAGGGGACATATTCACTGTATTCTGAAGATCTTTTATGTCGTCGCTGGCTACACAGCTCTGTGACACAGATCACCAGATAAGCAAGAGCAAAGCCAACGGAATAGAGCACCGAAGATGGGACAGTACTTTCTTTGTATGGCTTGTTAATACTATCATCATCACAATAAAACCCTCGGTGATATGGAACGGCAACTAGTTTGAATAAAAGACAAACCAACCCAACAACTAGCAAACAAGTGAAGTCCACTATGAGCCAAGCCAGACGGGGCTTCTCTGGTTTGACTGGTTCTAGATCAGGCGATGAGTCGTCAACTGTTAGTTCCACAGAGAATCTACACTCATCTGTAGGCTGAGCTTTGTTTTCCATGTCGCTAAATGTTTTTAAATACCATCTGTTGATACTGGTACCCAATATATTGTTCAAAATATTGTTTTCGTTATATGTTCTAGGCCAGGTTACCAAGATCGCCTAGGGACCAGGCTTTCGCCCAGCCACGAAGACCGCAGTATCGTATATTAGTGCAGTTTGGTTGCAAACCTTGGAAGATTTTTCAAAAATTGTTATTTAAAAATGCCCACCACCCCCAAATTTGACGAACCATGGATGGACGAACTCGATGGACATAACTGTGTGAGTAGAGCTATTAGTTTTGGAGCAAGAGGAGCGTTTGTAGGTAAGTGCACTGAGTTTGTAAATGTTATTGTGGTTCCAAGTAATCAGGCTTCACGCCAGAAACTCGAACGGTGGAAGACTTTGGCACACTTTATGTGAATCCCAGGAAGTTCTTCTTTAATCTGTGTCGAGCGAGTATGTTCCCTTTCTTCAAATAAATGTAATCTATTTGAAAATAAATATGCTTGAAGTGTACAAAGCTGGTGGAACATAGATAGCTAGTCAATGAGACTTTGACCCACACAGTGATTTGTTAACCCATTTCTTTGTTTACCATAATGTCTTAGTATTATTATTATCGTTATTGCTATTATTATTATTATTATTATCATCACTATTATTATTATTATTATTGTTGTTTTTGTTGTTGTAGCTGTAATTGTTATCATTGTTATAATATGGAAAGCGATGGTCATTCCTATGTATTGATTTTGTTACCCATCACCCAATGCAACCCATCACTAACAAACCCATTCTAAGAGAAATGAATTAAGGGCTAAGTCTTTCAAGAAACTGTGTTGCAGCATCAGTGGGAGAGTGTAACAGGATAATTTAGGGTAATTTAGCTACTGTAAAGAGTTTAAAAGCTGAAGTTTTAAAAGTTAGCCTTTCGTCATACACTTGAAATGTCAGCTTTTAAACTCTCTATGGTGACCATGACCAGGATGAGGTTGGGAAGTCATAAGCAAATGAAAATGTACAATGTAACAGGGCTTTCATATTCAGCAAATAGACCCTTTTGACTTTGGTTCTCTCTCTGGCATTCCAATCTTTCTCAATTTTTCTGATTGATTGAACCTCATGTAAGAGACCTAGGTCAGTTAAATACAGGAGAGTTTACAGAGATGGCCTGGGCAGGCATGGATTCATTGGGTTCAAAGGTTGAAAAATAGAGTATGAGAGGAAAATATAATCTTAACACAGAATTCATTTACACAATGACTTCATGCCATTTTAAATTGCAATAGGTGTCCAAAAAAAACTATACAGGAATAGGAAACAAAGAGCATCAGGAAACATGAGAAGAAAGCATCAGGAAACACAAGGACAGAAGCCAAATTCTGTACAATATAGGAACTTTAATTCATCCTTGATGATTTTGAGGATGTGCCAAAGTTTGGAATTTTTAAAGATTTTCACATCAATTTTACAGTAATTAAGGCCTCATTTGAACTTTTTAAAATTTTTATTTTGTAATTCTAGTATTTATAATTACTTAATTCATTTTGTTAAGTACTTCCATTTTGATTTTTACCTAGGGTAAAATGGTTCAAGATTCTCTTCTGAAAATTTAAATCATTCTTACTTCAGTACAAGTTTGGTTTAAGACATGTTATGTATTTATACAGGCAGGCTATTTTAAAGTTTGACTAGAGCAGACATCCATATTTTAGTTTCTGATGCTGCACAGGGTTTGTTGAAGCTTTCATATCATTGCTTGTCTATGTTGCTATGTCAATATGCAAACTTTGCTCTCATTTCCATGACCTTGGTTGATTTTATTTAACATTTCAGGTGGTATCTATGGTGCTGCTTGGTCTGCGCTGAGAATCCCAGATCCTCATCCCACTCCACTTATCCTGCAGTCCTTTATTTTGATGAAGAATAACTCAATCCTTGTTGGTTTGTGATTTTATTACATAGTTCTTTACTAAATTTTGAACTTCAGTTGCTGGTTAGTTAATGAAGAGAGGGTTTTATCCTTTAATTAAAAAAAAATGGCCTGTGAAGATTCTTAAGGATCCAGTGGCTATTTTTGGTTATCAAAAATGATTAGTTTATAATTATGGTGAAGAGCCTCACTTGTCATGATATTTTAGGTGGTGCAGCAAGTTTGTTTGCTTTAACAACATGCACAGCAGCTTCAATGAGAGAAAAAGATGACCATTTTAACTGGGCCTTGGGAGGTGCTGCAAGTGGAGTTCTGATTGGATTTAGCAGTAAGTTTCTCTAATTATTATCTTTTTTATCTACCATTGATGACATGTTACTATAGGGCTTTTGAGAAGTTTTTCTGTCTAAAAAGACATGATAGTTGCTCTGCTACTGTTCTAATGCTTTGGTTGTAAGTTTGAAATGAGGAATATTTTAACAAAATCCATTGGGCCCTCTCAGGTTCACAATTTTACCATCAGGCAGAGGCAACATCATTTGTTGTTTCTTTTTATGTACAGAGAGCAGTTGGGGGTTGGGCTGTGGTCTGGCAACAGCATTTGCCGCTGCTGGAGCTTTAGCCAAGTACTCTGGTGTGTACAAACATCCTCTGCGTACTGACAGAGTCTATGTGTGATGCACGTTGAGGCTCGTAAGATACATTACCTTGGCCACAAGTTTTGAATGTTAATTGTGAATAAAAACTTTACAATTGATCCTGAATAACATCTAGCTGTTTAGAACATTAACCTGCAGCTAAAATGGTGAGCCATTTTTGGTGGGATTATGTGCAGTCTACTGTGAGAAGACAGATAAACGAAAGTTGTTAAGCGCCGAAGTTTCTTAGGAATAAAAGATTATTTGGCTGTTTTATGTATATGCTTGTTATACACTATCGAATAAAATAACCATTGGTATTGACGCGAAATTCACTTCAGATCAAGCACTGCAAAGTGGATTCTCTTCCCAAATCTTCGATTGAGGAGCTTTCCTTGTTGAAACTGTAAGGAGGTATTTTCAGTGGGGAGTATTCGATTATGTTACGTTATTAACTACCTGTTGAATTAAGATACACGTCTCTTGGCAACAATATCACCTTCCAGTGCCAACCAGCTTACTAACTAAGTTTGCATTTAAAAGCAATCAGTAACCTGTATTTGGTTGGGATCTTGAATATTTTACTTGACAACTTGAAGTCTTAAATTTTTATCGGAAAAAGCGTCCAAAAGTCAACATTTTACTGCATTGAAATGATGAAACATTCACAGTAGACCGTCACAATTTCGAAACCCAAATCCATAAAATTTAAAAGCGGTATTTAAAGTTAATGAAAAGTACACAAACCGAACTACTCATCTGGAACAGTAACTGTGAAAAAAAATTGTCCTAATAGGTGATAATTGCAACACTTAATTACGTCTACAAAACGATCTCGTGCAACGAAATATTGCAGAATACGCAGATCATGTCTCAGTCATTTGCTGATAATAGTGTGTTACAACAGAATTTCATCTCCCGTGTTCCAAGGAAAATGATTACGCTAAAATTATGGAGACCTTCCATTAAGTTTAACCGGAGTCGCTTTTTATTGCCGCGGGCGAAACTGAGCGTAGACTGGTACCTGCTAAACTTTCCATTACTGGTGTTTGGCCTAATTGAACATAATTGGCTTATGAGGTCACGCTTCGAAAAATTTGTCAGGGAATCTGTGATATTCTCCTCATGAAACCCAACACGATATCTTTAAAGGGAATTTGTCAATGCTCACTGCTTTTACGAGTTTTTTGTGGTTGCAAGATTCCCTCTCCACTCATTTGAATCCTCAGTGTACCCAGATTTCATGTAAAATGGCCTCTTTTGTATCAGTTATTGTTGGACTTATAATCATGGCGTGCGCTTTTGCTGGGTTAATTGTGGCTGCTGACGAATGTACCAGACACCCAAGAGCTCTTTGATGCAAATTTATTTTTCGAAGCGTGGTTCCACGAGTGCAACATTTGACAAAGAAGACAGACGAACCTAAACTGATATACACTTTACTTGAGAGGGGACATCAAACAAACTGTCCAGGGTTAAGTCCCAACCACTTACATCACAAACCCGACGGTGGACACGATTCATTCAACAGCTTCCTTCAGAGAAGACTTGACTTACTCTATTTACCAGGACCGCTTCTGATTGCCGGATGGAACCCATTCACTCAGCCTTACCAATTAGAATTGACATTGCTAAATTTAATGACAGGCTTTTAATATGGCAGGGAATTTACCACCAGGGATAGGGCAACTATCGTTTGAAAATAATAAAGGGGGAGGGGGGAGGGTGAGGAGAGGGTAGAAATCATATTTTATTTTCACTCAGAATTCTATGTACGTGTGTAAAACTGCTCTAGTTTTAGCACCAAGTTATCCTTAAAGGTTACAAGCGAAGATTCCGTAAATGCAGCTCTGTCCTTCTGTTTGGTAGAGGTCAATTATTTAAAAGTACTTTGTGGTATTTGCTTGTCTGATGTGTTAATTATGTAGCCCTCGTATGTGAAAATTGTTCAGCCCACTTTCAAATAACTCCTTAAGGGAGTCGATCTCCGACGATCATTTTTTCTCATTTGCATATGATAGTTTCCCCCGCATTTGCCTGCAACGACACATGTTTGAGGCCAGAATTCACACTCTGCGTGTGCTTTTGAAACAATTTGACTTTTAGTCGATTTTAAAAGTTGAATAGAACCTAGAGAGTGTGAATAAAACAATTTCTTAATCTCCATGACTTTATTTTCTTATTGCAAATTAATCCATCTAACATCCGTGAATTTGAGTCACTCGAGCTAAGCATGATGCAGTTGAAAAGAATACTAAGTTCAGAAATAAGATAATAATGACCATGTATCCGATCCAACAATCACTCCAGCCGCCATCACAAATATTTAAACATCGACCTTCCCACAGAATCAGTTTGGGCTCGATTTCCGCCGTTTTTTCCCCTTAAGTCCAGTCTTCGATCTCCATTTTCCAAAAAAGTAGCGTGAAATCGAGCCTCATTATAAAAGCTTCCTAGCTGTTTCTTTATTTTGT